CGTAACGAATAATAATATTTTTACCTGTCAAACTGTCTTTGACAAAAATATATATGCAAAGGATAAAATAACAATCGATGAGGACCGACGAAACAACGATAGAATAAAAAAAAAGAAAGCACTATTGTTTTAGATTATGAGCGGAGCGTTTTACGGTTGTACAATATTATGTAGTTTTTTATTTTTATTTTATTTCCATGTTGTTCTGAGTATAATGAGATTTCCTAAACTTTCGCAAGGCTCCTCGGACGATTTTCGGCACCCGAAATGAAATCCATTAATGAAATATTTTGTTTTTTACCATCCCAATGGTTTTCGATAAAATCACTAAAACCACCTTAAACCGGTCAACCTTACTGTGCACCGTTTTAAATTAAATCCATCGTTTGATCGCCGTAATAGTGTAATACGCTATAGGCTGTTTAATTGATTTAGAGAAAATTAAAATCGTGCAACAGTGGTTCCAATAGTATTCAAAGCGATTATTTTTGTAACCGCCTAATGACGATTTTCCGATTTGGCACAAGTGTGTGGTCCTTGAAGAATCTCAACAGTTTTGAAAACATACGACATTTTATATTATTATTACCTCCCGTAACAATAGAACAAACTCGTAGTTTTGTAATATTTTTAATTGAATAAGTGATGATAATGGTTATATCGTGCTACGACTATAGAAAACAAAACCGGTACATTGTGTATCATAAATATGCTGATGGCGGGTGGACTTTGAGTTTTTTAAATCGAGTATAACCATAATACGTCCGATTTATCTTAGGTAGGTATACTCGATGTCGCGACCGAAATAAAAATACTGTCGTTATTGTTTGGAGTTTACCCCGCGCCGATCGATACAACGTTGATATTATTATGCATGAGCGCCCCATAAGTAGAATTGTAGGGAGGGTCAAAATAAAAAATTCACAAATGTAAGCTAATAAAGATTTAATGTTGATTTCGCATACAAATGTAAATATCCATGTTATATTACATAATATACATTTAGGTTGATTAAAAAACATTTTAATGAGTACCTTTGGAAAAAAATTTGTGCATTTTTATACTCATTTCATATCTTCAAAATGATTTTAAAAAAAAAAAAATTGTCTTGTTGATTAAATAATATCATAGAAATATTTATTGAACTACAAGGTAATTTTTTCATCAGTGCGGAGAGGGTAAAGAATCTTGCCCCCCAACCACCAATGGGCTCCCATTATGATTTAATAATAGCATCGTTTTTTATTATATTTTATTTTCGGATAATATTATAATATTATATGACAGTTAATATTTTTTTATACTTAATATTCTCGTTTGACATTCATACGCGATTAATAATCGACGGAAATTCGTCGGTTATCGAAGGATTGTAGGCGTATCTTGGGGTGTGTCGACGGTGAGATTTTTAATCGATATTGGAACGAAAATGTTTGATTTCTTTTTCGTACCACTAGCGCCTATCATTGCTACATTTGGGGCCAGGTATACATAAATTAGATTTATTATTTTGTTTTTTTTTTTTTACTTTTCGCTTTCGAGTAAAAGTTTTTTTACGGGCCAGGTAAACTCACTGTGCCGTGCATTATTAGGCCGTGACCTTTTTCGCCCGTTTTCTGCAGCTCATAATATATTCATGACCATATATTAGAGAGGTATTTTTCGAATAAAAAAAAATAACTAAATTGTTGAATACGATTTGCAAGTAATTACGATTAATTATTACTATACGTATACCAATATATGTATTTTATACACACAAATGTTGTGTACTTAAACAAGACCGTTCGACGTATTATTATATAATAGAAAAAATGTATTATTATATTTTTTGTTGTTGTTATGCTCTCTGATCGTGGACCACAATTTATTATTATAATTATAATATTATCTACGCCACAGATAATAATATACTACTTAAATTGTTTTATTGTTATTGCTTTTTTTGTAGTCTGTCATTATTTTGCTTTTATTCCGATTATATGAACATATTGTTTTGAATTTTGGGCTACAAAATTCAACGGTTCGACGGACATAATAGGTATAAAAAATTATAATCCTCTTATTCCTATTAGGTGCATTAGGTATTTATACATTATTATTGCCTACATCCAACATCTTATTGTTTCACTAACAACTATCAAAACTCTCTCGAAAGCATGATACATTTAACTGACAACGGAACAACATACAATTGTAATAAAATTTGTTTTATGACAAACCGTTAAAGAATTATTTTGAGTTTATATTACAGTTTAACAGCCAATTATTCGCAAATTGAAACAATATAATATATTATTTTCTTATATAACTTCGATAAAAAAAAAAAAAAAGGAAAGAACATAACAAATAAATAATAATGACCACTAAATAAAGTATAAACCGACAGAAGTCAATTTATCTAGAGTACATTTTCTTATATGCGAATGAAAAACTTTTAGTCTAAATCGAGGTTAAGAAATTCTAGCCATATATATATATTAACAAAATGAATAGATATATTACAAGCGCATATACATATACATGTTAGATTGGCATTTTCAATTAAACATAGGGTCGTCGGTTTTTTTTTTGTTCCTTTTCGCCAGTGACCTTTCTCGATAAAACGCGTCTGGGAACACCGTATTTTCAGTTCTGTAGATAAATAATGGATTTAATAGGACTGGGAGACAACGAACCCATCAGCTTCGTCTGTGAATAAAAGATTAATAATGGAATATTAAGATGACTCGAAAAAAATATAAAAAATAAATAAAATGAAAATATCACGCCAGCGACGACGAGAGCAGACTCTCTCTCTCTCTCTCTCTCTCTCTCTCTGCAGCTGTGTAGGTTTATATAGTTAACTAAAAAGATCGTCTATATATTATTATGTACGATAAACAGAGCCGTCTTAGATAATAAAACAAGCAGCGGGCAAACGTCCCATAGAGATTTGCCATCGCCAGCTCAATCCGTTAAAGTAAAAAAAAAGTCGGGGTGGGACAAATGCCTGTCTGCGTCTGGGTGTGTGTGTGTGCGTTTTCCTTAACGACGCCATGGTTTTTAAACCTCCGGATCCTTTAGTGCTGTTGTTGTTTTTTTTTTCAGTTTTTTTTTTTTTTGTTTTTCGTATTTTCGTTTTTTTCCTTACTCTACTCTCTACTCACTACTATATACCGGATCAGAATTTCAAACAGGACACGATTGTGTCCGACACTCGACAATCGTTGTCGACGAAAAAATTCCACACAGAACACTCTGAAAATAAGACCGGGCTATTTAAAATATACGCGTCTAATTTCTTTTCCTTTTTTTTTTTTTTGGCTATCTAACCCCTCTCGGCCGTGTTAACCAAGTCGTTTTAAGAAATGGCAAAACTCCATAGAAACCTTTTTGCTCCGATTCAACCGAATTTGCATACAATATAATATTTTACATACACATGTATACGCGCTTCGGGGTAAATTTAACCATTTTTCCATAGTAAGACACATAGTTTTCTCGGTCAATTTTAAAATCATCTTCTTTTTTTCAATTCTTGTTTGAAACTACGCTCGCATGTAAGTACCACAAATGCCCGCATGACGTTTAAGAATCAAGTTTTTAACTATTACTTTTCCAAGTGGATTTGTAGACTATTCAACCGTTGTCGTCCGAATATCGAACGTATCGATCCGCTAGTATTTATTATTTATAAACGTTTGAAGTTTAGTTAAAAGCCAAGAGTTGAGTGCCCGGGAAGTAATAATTATATGCCAAGTAAATGTCCATAATAAACTATCGCGGTTCAACGTCCAATAGCTCTATTTTGGTCTCAACATTTTCAAAAAAAAATATATTTCGGTATATGAGCTATGTCGTGCCACGTAAACTAACGTTCGTACCAATAAGACTTCAAAAAATACCACAAAAAAATTTAAATATAAATAAATGTAGTGACGAATTCCGTTAGCTCTATAAGGAAAACACCTCACGTTGAATATCTTCGTGCGAACTTACTTTTGTCTATGCATAATAATAATGAAAACATTTTCTCCGGGATGTTAATACATATATAATTACTAAGTATAAGCGGAATTCTAATAATATGTCGACTTCAGGTATTTTAATACGTTTTGGCTTTTAACGCTCGATAATCCGGTGTCACATTATATTATAATAAATGTGGTTTCGGGATTATGCAATTGGCGAGATAGAAACATCATAAAACAAAGTATGTGGAGACTAGAATATTTATGGCGTTTTAATTACATTTATTATTATACGATATATTGGCCGCGACGCAAATAATGCCACTCTATATATATCATGTGTGCGGCTGGTGACGACCATGGTTAGTTACCAAACACGAAAAATAATCGATAAGAGTGAACGAATAAAAAACACCGAATAACAGCAAGTTCGCATGCGGTAAAAGTTAGACCAAAATAAAATATTAAATATATAATATATATATACACAGTTTATGCGCGAACCATACGATTTGCCATAAACACGATACATATATAATATAGAGTGTTGGCGCTGTGGTATATATATTAGGTGGCCAGCAACAGTTTGGTTTTTTATGGCGGACAAACTTTTTTCCCGAAGCTAAAAATTCGACTCCGGATGAAAGACGTAAAAACCTGGAAAAAAAAACAAAAACGAAATATGGTTCAATAAAGATTTTCTGTCAGATGCAATTCGCCCATAAATATCTGTGCACTTATATCGGTGCACCAGTGGATTATTTTTTTTTTTTTTTTTTNTTTTTTTTTGCTCCTGTCGTTCAGGAAATCCACCCAATTATTTCACATGAGTCGATACTATACTATCTGCACCCAATTACATGGCTTACCACTCGGGGAAATAATAATCAGACATACATTGCGTATTACCACGAACAACGTTTATATGTATATTTGTGTGTGTGTGTCTGTATTGAAATGTAACGAAACGTTTATACATATATATGTGTTTACAATATATCGGTATTACATGACATAATTTAATTTTTTTTTTTTTTTTGTTTACAGAATGGAAGAGGGAGCGGCGAAAACATTAATAGAGCGAATGGGTAAGTAAAAAATAATAATAACGATGATGATAATAATATGACTCTAGTTCAGTGCTGCGAGGGGTTTTCGAGTCTCGGGGCTTAATACGCGGCACGTGTATATATTATTATATACGGAATAGAAATTGGAAGACTGCAGACATTATGGGGGAAACGAAACGTCGTCGTTTTTATTATTGTTTGTATTATTATTGCTGTTGTTCTTGTTGTGTGCACAAGTTGACGAGCGGAACGCGAACGCGGGTGAGATTAAATAATAATCCGGTGCACGAGCGGCGTGTGGGCCAAGTCATTATGGTAGACAATATTATATCGTACACTATACCTACATACAGATAGTCTATGTTATTATAGATATGCGTCGTGACGATATAAATGATTTCGGAGCTGTTATTCGATACTTTTCACAACCCCCGTACGCAACGAGTATTTGCACACACCCGCCCACTCGTGCTGTAAAGAGTTTAAAAGTACGTGTTAACCCGAGATTTTCTCTGTGTGTGTGTGTGTTTTCACCACCCCTCACACGTGTATCCGGCCGCCTCTCGCGGTGTGATGGTTTTAAAGAGCTTTGTGGGGGTTCGGTCCATTGAATTTTTGTGTCCTACATTTGTGTGCATGTGTGTGTGTGTGTGTGTGTGCGGGTTCATGCCCGCGGATTAAAAGGAAAATATAATAGCGACTAGTGTGTGTGTGTGTGTGTGTGTGTGTAGGTAGTTGGGTGTGATCCGTAAGTGCACTTCTATACAACGACGAGGAGTGGCGAACGACGGCGACCTGTCTGATGACAAACTTTCGATTTGGTGGGGTAGAGTTAGTCGCCGGGGGATAAAAGCGGCGGTGGTGAAATTTCATTTTATGTTTATTTATCGGGTGACGACATTGAAAGCCGTCGCCGTCGTCTTTGGCGGTACCTACCCATGTATAGTATGTACCATGTACGTATACGATGAAAGTAAACATATGAAATTAGTCTTGTCGCGCAATAAGCCTGTAACTACGAGCAGTGATTGAATTTGTGCCGAGTGGGGGTCGTTTGGGTGAGGGCTGCTTGTGCTTCTCCTCTTTTAATTACTCTATTATATTTCAGCGTGTCTCGACCTCTCCTATAATTTAAAACAACATTTAAGTCATTATATTGTGACGTTGTGACGTCTCTCAGGGTCCGCACAATTCCGGCGCTTACTAATTGAGTCCCGTATACCTGAACGAAGATAAAATAATATTCTAATAATTGAGCGCCCGTAAAACATGGAAAAATACCAATTGTGTCCGCGATCGAGAAACAAAAGCAAATGTAAATGACTAAATATGCACTTGGAAAAAGTAAAAAACATCAATCGAGGGTTTTTTATTCTGTTTGCGTCGTATCCTACATTTTTCTAGTTCTGGTTCAAATAGAAATACCAACACTGATTTGTTACATTGACTGAACCAAACCAAAATAAATGATAATTTTATAACTATAGAAAACTAAATTCGAAAATAAAACAGCACTGTTACAAACGAGAAACAAATATCCAGATTTGAATACCATAAAAAGTTTTTATCGATATAAGACATTCAATTTATTTATTTATTTATAATTTTTAATTAATTATCAGTACAGTTTATTATACACATTTATGGAATGTGTTAAACATTTTAAAATTATCATTAAAAAAAAAACATTTTCAATCCATACCTGTAGAATTTTTCTTACAAGCAGTTCTAAAATATGCAAAAAATATATTGTTCTTATTTATACAAATGGGAAGAAAAAAGTGTTTTTTTCCAAAGTTTGAATGGCTCAGTATTAAAACATAGATCAATTAGTACAACATTTTTATTTTTACGGGACTCAATTGGTTCTAAACGGATTATTAGGAGTCCAGTTCGTATGCAACTCATAATTCCACCACAATAATGATAAAAATAGCCCTCCATTCTCGTCAACGGCTAATTTGTTTTTATGTCCGACGAAATGTTTTTTTTCTCACCCAGCGTTCGTTCTATTACAATATTTCTTTATTAAAATATGGTTTAGGTAAATCAAATTATTTGCTCATGTACCTATAGCGGAGATTTGGTTTAAAACTCACAGTGTGCCAACTGTAATATTATAGGAGGTTACTGGTCGTTAACTTTCTGGTCTTTGCAGGGGATCGGATAAACGATATAGTAATATAGTATATAACCTACCTAGTTTGAAAATTGTCAATTTTTTTTTATTCAACAACAAACATTAAAATGATGTCTATAGTAATAAAATGCACGTGATCTTACTGTGTTATATTGTAGACACCCTGGAGACAATCCGTTTTATAGCAACATCGACAGCATGCCGGATATTCGACCCAGGAGAAAATCTATCCCTCTTGTTTCGGAACTGGTAAGCAAAATATTTAATATTAATATAATTTAAATTCATCCTTTTTCCCTCGTTTTAACTTACTATTGGGAACATAAACTCCCGAAAATTGGATATCCATCGAGTATACAGCGTTTTTGTAAAGTAATAATTATATTATTATAATTCAACCGAGAAACGAGTGTGCCCGGTGATTTTTTTGGTAGTAAATATTTTTGTACAAATTTTCGCTTCTAAGTGTATACCGTATATTATAATTTCTTCATGTGAAATGGTTTCTCTTATCCTCATTGTTTTATGTTGTTTTTATGTGTACCTATATGAATGTTTTTTTTTTTTTTGCTGCTATTCCACGTGTTCTCATCATGTTTCCTATGTAAAATATTATGTTCTTTAGACTTCCTTTATAGATTTTTTTTTAACACGATTTCTTCATTTCAAACGCTATTCATTCATGGTTTATAACTTTTTATTTTATTTTTTAAAATTACGATGATATATATATATATATTATTATTATTATACATATCATTATTATGTATCTAATTTAAATAGGTAATTTATATGATAATAATAGGCTCATTGAAATAGCTGAAACATATATATAGGACTCATTATTTTTATTTTTTAACATAAACATGTAAACTAACTAATTTGTGTTATATTGTCTGTTGTTTGTGATCTTCACGCATCGATCCAGGTTCTCAAGGTATAGCGTTCTTTTTTTTTTATTTTTACCATTTATTTAGAGAAAAATATAGAGCACGCTATTAGATCTGGTGACGTGGTTTTTCGTCCATGAAAACACACATTCACTAACACACTAAACACAACACACGCACACACACACAAATCACACTCACACACACACACACCGCTTTAGCACCAAACCATTTTATTATAACACTAAAATTTAAATTTCTATTTTCTAGAAATTCCAAATATTAAAATTATTTTAGAGGTAGAATAAAATAGCTAAGCAATTGTATCTTTTATATATTATATTTTTTTTATGTACCATACACTTTTGCTTAGTTTTTTCTATTAGCTTTGTTTGTTTATATATATATTTTTATACAAAGTACATCTTATAATATTTATTATGTATATTTGTACAGTTTTCAGCATTTTCACTAATCAATATTTAACAAATCTATGCATTATATTATTATAGAATTAGATTTAAACGATTTAAATTTTATTTTATGTATTTAAATTTTAAATACACGCAAATATATACGATTTTAACTAAAAAAGTAATTTTTAAAAATTAGTTCATTCAAAAAACAACTATAGGTACCCAATTTAATTGTAGGACGATAAACTATATTATATACCTGATAACTTTATCACAGTATTGATATTACATGACTGATTGATTTATTATTCCACTTTAGGTATATATTAGCTAAACAAGAATGTTTATAGTAGTAATATAAGAATTACCTTGAATAGCAAAAAAAAAAAATGGTGTTGAACATTTGAGATTGATTCTAATGGAAAGGAATCTTTTGGTTTATGACCACAAATAAATGTTAAGCTGTATATATTATATATTATGTAGGCATGTACATTATACACATATTGTTTAATGAAATGTCATAATGAACTTCTTAAGTGCTCAAACTCTGTTTCTTGTAGGTAATTTATTAGACTTGTACGAGCACTATAGATCCGTGTATATAATATAATACGTCAACTATAATTTAATACATCCTTTTAATCGCATTAACCTCTAGATAAAACTTTTACATTAATTCCAAAAAAAAAAAAACATCGACCCCCCCCCCCCCGGATAACACTTAAGTACCTAACATCAATTGCGACTTTTTTTATGCAATTTTTATTTTTTATTATTTTTTTTTTAATAATTATTATTGCATGCATTACATTTCTATGCACATTTCAATTCATTAAAATGGAAATTAAATCGTTTCTAACATAGAATTAGTTTTAATATGTAACATATGATATTTAGTTTACGTAGACTTATAGACAATTAGGTAGTGTTTTTAATTTATTAATTTATATATTATTATACATTTGTTTTTTATTTTTTTTTTTTTACAACTCTAAACCGGTTTAATAAACTGTAGGTGGCTGTGAAAACAATACAAAATACTAATCAATGATGATACAGTTACATAATGGACATGTGCATGTGTTATAGTTGAAAATCGGAGTTAATTTGAATACGAAGAAAAAATTAAACACTTTATTACATTTTTACTATTTAAACGTTTTAAAAAACTTTAAGCTATGCACATGTTTATTAAACACTTAACACTTTGGTTTCGATACGTTATTATTACTTTGGGCTAGATAGAAACTAGATCGTAGTAATGCGCTTATCCAAGTAAAACATGTCTCGTTACATGACGTTTATAGACATTTAACATCAAATGAGAATTTGCTCGAGAAAATATATTTTCATAAGGTCTTAAAAAAATGTACCTACCCGTTATTTATTGCGAATAGCATAATTTTTCTAAAAAATTATAATTATGATCTTCAAACTATTTTTATTATTTTTTTCATTGTTGTGTCGGGAAAAAAATTTCTAAAAGTATTTTCCTCGGGCAAACTCTTGAGTTATACTTTTGTCTGGAATAAGAATGTTTTCAACAATACTTGTACTTTTTTTTCAAATGATATTATGTATATAATATGAACCTAAATAAGTATATTTTACCACTAGAATTATGACGGAAACCTAATTTATAAGTATTTTTTACCGATAAAAAAAATATTTAAATTATTACAGCGTATATCAACTAATATGCAGTAAAAATTAGTCCAACATTATTATAAGTTTTTTTATTTTAATGTGGAAACGTTGTAATAATATGTCAATATTTATCTTAAAACGAAACATTGATGCACGTGAAAAAAAAATGCCATCTTTACTCGAAGTTTCTTTTTATGCTGGGCATCATTATTTTCCCTTTATGACTACAACATCAACATCAAGGGTGAAATATATACAGTAGAAAGTGTGTTGAAAAGTTTCTCGTGGCATTTATATCTCTTCAGCGAGATATTATTTACGAATATTATATATAATATGATATATATTCTTAAACTACTTACATTAGTCACCATAACATTCTTATTCCATTTTGAGTATTCCATAGTGATATCAATAATTTGGTGAGTTATAATAAAGTCGGTTTATTTAATAGCATCATGGGTATAATTATTAAACAAGTACACATTATTGCATAAATGCTTAATATTTACGCTTATGGTTAAAATAGCTTTATTGCTAAACGTTTCACGTTTTTACATTATTAATTTATTATTGGAATTCTTGTGGGTGTATTTTAGACAATGGCCGCCACAAAAAGAAACGCAGGACTGGCGTCAGGAGTTCCACGTCCTACACTCAACGACGAGGAGCTGGTTAGTACCGAATTGAACAGATCACTTGTACTTTTTCGTTATTAAAAAATAGTTTGTCAAATGAAAAAATTCCGGCGTTTACTTTCTCAAAGTTTTCTTTTTATTTGTTTATTTTTTTTTTTTTTTGGCTTAGCTCAACAGAGACTGTTTAAAAATAGCTTCTCGTATCAGTCTGAACCAAAAATAATATATTCTATTCCAATTTCAAGAAATGTTTTATAAATTAAAAAATACGTGTAAGGATAACCTAAGAATGAACTTATATATTGTGCTATTTTTTCTAACCGTTTGACACATAATACAATAGCAAGTTTAATATACGCTATTCCCTTATCTTCATTCATCCTTATTACATTGTCAGAAATAAAGCACATTTCCTTAAACTTCAAAGTCATAGAACAAATAACAAATACGAGTACCAAAGGATAATTAGGTACTTAGGATTATTAATTATTTTAATAACTATAAATACCAAAATGAGTGAATTCAATTAATTTATAAACAATTCATTGGCATTAAACATTTTACTAATGTTTTTTATGTTAATCCTTAAAATATAAACACATTAATTTCGTTTTATATTTTAATTTTTTTTTTCAACGAATACCTACACTCGCACATGTATTTTTAATTATAATGAAAACTCATTAAAATTGTTTTATCACGATTCACTCTACATAGTTTATTTTAATTATTCATTCATTCGATATAAAAAATACACTGTACCTATAATGTATACCGTGTAGAAAAATTAAAAAAACTCGTTTGTGATTCATTAAAATCTATTTCACACAGTTCTGAATCTTTTATTCAAACCGTATTCGGTTTTTGCCACATAATACACGGTTGTCAAGTCGAATCAATTTCGGACATCTTTGAAATTCCAACTTAATGTACTTTACATAAATGAGGTAAATAATAAATTATTTAAAAATATATGACAAAGTACTTATCGGATGAAAAAAATAGGGAAAAAATATCGAAAATAACGACATAAATATTTAAAACTTTGAGACCACTTTTAGACTGTGTCGTAACGATAATGTTTTCAAAACGGACGCATTGCCGGATCACTTGTAGAATATTATATACCTTGTAAACCAACCTAATACCGCGTTCTTGGACTATATTTCAGAAAATGCACGTGTACAAAAAAGCTCTGCAAGCTCTAATCTATCCAATATCATCGACCACACCGCACAATTTCGTCTCGTGGACTGCGACTTCACCGACGTATTGTTACGAATGTGAAGGGCTGCTGTGGGGCATCGCCCGGCAAGGGGTACGGTGCACCGAATGCGGGGTCAAGTGCCACGAGAAGTGCAAAGAGCTCTTAAACGCCGACTGTTTGCAAAGTAAGTCTTAACTTTTAAAAAAGTGACTATTATTTAAACTATTACGAACGTTGGGCGAGAAATAATAATAATTGGGCGCCGTGGAAATATTAAAAATATTTAACCAACCGACACTATAATTATTATTATATTGCTGAAACGCGACGTGTTTAGTAGTAATGTGACGCTCATTCGTCATGATATATTATGGGAACGAACAATTAAAATGTTATCCAAAAGCAAATGTATAATATGAATATAATATTATGAAGAAATCTAAATTAATAAAAAAAAAACCTGCAATATTACGCCGCACTGCACAACCAGTGTATAAAAGTATGACAGTGGTGAAGGAGATAATAATTAGTTTATAGTTTATTGTACATTTCATTAAAACCAAAAATAATTTAAATGCTAACAAACGTATCATATTTTTGATCCCCACAGCATATATCATTTTATCTAATAGTTGTACATCAAATAAATATAATAAATTCATCCCAAGCGGTACGCTTAAAAACATTGCATGTACCCTGAGCGAATACATTTTCAAAGGATGTCTGGAATTTTATTCGAAATCGCTTTGCGACTTCTGATACGCATTTCTATACATCATTGGCCATTAACCCACACTTTTTAGGACCCCCGAGAGCATCTACCTGATCAAACTTTGAATAGAAATAACTTTAAACCCGTTCTATTTTGTTATTAGTGGCATGGCAAATGACGTAGAACAATACACCAGATACAAACATTTTGACCATAAAAAGTGGTCATATTTACAAAGTTTTTGAAAATCTTTGTACCAGTAAAAATATTTTTTTTCGTGTGGTGTATAAAAATCGAACAAATACAGTTAAAATATTCCGTATTCGTATTTCGTACAACAGAAAACCCACTTACAATTGCCTAATATTATTGAAAGCACTAAAACGTACCTATTTATTTATATTTTTTTTTGTTTTACTACCTATAAATTTTAGGAGCGGCCGAAAAAAGTTCGAAACACGGTGCCGAAGATAAAGCGATATCGATTATACAGGCAATGAAGGACAGGATGTTGCAACGCGAACGAGATCATCCAGAGATTTTCGAACTCATCAGGTTAGTTAACACTTTAAAATCAAATACCAAATTTAGTAAATTAACAATAAAACCGTAAGAGCCTTGAGTGCAATTGTTGGTAAACTGCAATTGTAGATATTTCACAGCAGGCTGCATGAGTTTCAGTCAATTTAATGTCAACATTTTCCCTAAGCAATGCCAGTAAGAATCACTTACTAATTTTTACTTGCGTCAACAACACCGTTAAATATTATTTTAAAATTTGGTTTATTGTTGTTGATATCCATAATAATTAAGAACATCTTTAACAATCCGTAACTTTAAAAATTATTATTTCATAAAATCTATTTAAAAAAATTGGCAATTTCTAAAAATAAAAGTGGAATTTTCTCGTTAATGATTTTAATATGCGATACCCGACTTTATAACGTATTATGTATTTGTATTTCTCAACTAATTTTATCGGTTTTCTAAGATGTAATATCATAGTGTTTTCGACACTAACTTAATCCATAGTGGAAAATTGTATAACAGTCAGTACTATTGTATCTCAAGCTATTACATTTTTTTTTTTTTTTGTCCGAGTATAACGAACACGAATAGTCTTTAAATGAATCGTAACTCGTACAAAAGAAATATATCTACCGACGATGTCGGGACACACGCACGACGATATCCTCGTAAACGGAAACATATATATGGCAATCGTTGGAAAAGGATCGGGGTCAAAATATAGGACGACACGCGCGACGTAATAATATATAGCGCTTATTAAATAGTCGTCTTAAGACAAATGGAACACCGTCGGATTAATTTCAATCTGCTCGTCATCAGACACTGCTGCTATTGCGAACAAACTGAGTTAACAGATCTACACGACCGGATTGAGTTCAGTCGAAAAGCCGTTATTGATGCGAGTTAGATACCTAACCGAAACGACGGCTACGTTCACGAGCACGGATGCAATTCGTAATAGTTACAACGATAAAGAAATAAATCGCCGATATGCCGAGACAAATGACGCCGCGTGTTTGTTCTGAACGTTTTGGGCCCGGGGCTCGACCACGTTTATGCGAAAACAACCGACAGAGATTTCGGGTCATTGAGCAATACACGCACACGACATCCGGAAGAAGTTCTTATTTAGCTTAACATAATTCGCGCAGTGTTGGGTGTGGAAAAAAATTGGTTGTTATGTGTTTTTTTTCAATTATACGCAGATCAGTGTTCGGCGTGGAGGAGAAAAGCCATCAGGGTCACATTAAAGCGGTGAAACAATCGGTTTTGGATGGTACTTGCAAGTGGTCAGCAAAAATTGCCATCACAGGTTTGTTTATAAAAAAAAAAACCAATTTGACATTATGAGCAGACGACTTCAAAGAGCTTTGTGTGGCAACCTTCATTGTGCTTGGTGTTGAATTTTATGGAATTGGTGTTTTACTATTTTTGATATGTTTAACCCCTCATGTGTATTTTTTAAGCACGAGATTTTTAATGAAAATTCTTTCAATCAACTATAATTTTGTGTATTTTTTTAAACTACTTTTGTGCATGGTTTATTGTTTGTTCACTAATACAAATGTCTGAAATGTGTTTACAAATGTTTATATTTTTCCTCGCTTACATCTATGATGCATTCAAAAATATTAAGAAAGAATTTTCATTTATTTAAATCTAAATATTTTCTATTTTGGTTCATTTCCTCCGATCAATTTGTGTGTAAATATTTGTTTTTATTGTTTTGGTTTTTGCGTATTTGAAGAACCATGTTTTCTGTGGAACCTGATATGCATATCGATTCCTTGGAGCAAGCGGAAGCTATCGTTCTTGAAGGCACTTCTAAATGGTCGTGCAAAATCGAAATAACAGGTCAGCGGTTAGGCTTATTAGGGTTCACTTACTCACAGCTTAGAAATTGGAATCGAGCAAATATTTGCTAATATTTAAATTTCAAATCAAACAAATCACATAAATCATCGATATCTAGTTAGCAGAAGTAACTTAAAAGACGACTTCCGAAAAAGATTTACGCTTATTGCATGCATTTATAATTGTTGTCGTTAGTACCTATCTGCACGTGCAAAATATTGTACATATAGCTTTAGAATGAACCTGTGCTTTAGATTTATGTAACTCATATTTTTAAATAATTATTGATTATAACGTTTCATTTTTACTATAGTAAAATGTGCTCAAGGGCTCATCGCAAAAGACAAAAGTGGTACATCAGATCCATACGTAACTGTTCAAGTGGGTAAAGTTAAAAAAAGAACGCGAACTATGCCTCAAGAGCTCAATCCTGTTTGGAATGAAAAATTTTATTTGTAAGTATATCTTACTCCCCTTCTCCGTCACTGTCTATAATTTTATATTATAATGTGTACAAATATGTACCTATGCATTTTTTCAATATTTATAGCGAGTGCCACAATTCTTCGGATCGAATTAAAGTCAGGGTATGGGACGAGGACAACGACCTAAAATCGAGACTCAGGCAAAAATTAACCAGAGAATCGGACGATTTTTTAGGACAAACTATTATCGAGGTATATACATATCGAATACATAATATTTTTGCGAGAGCTTATGACTAAAAAGTATGTACCTGTTTAGGTTCGGACGTTGTCGGGCGAAATGGACGTTTGGTATAATCTCGAAAAAAGGACTGATAAATCAGCGGTATCCGGTGCTATTCGATTACATATCAATGTAGAAATCAAAGGAGAGGAAAAAGTCGCTCCTTATCATATCCAATACACGTGTCTTCATGAAAACCTATTTCACTCGCTGTGCGAAAACAACGCTGGAATAGTTCACCTACCACAAGCTAAGGGAGAAGATGGGTGGAAATTGTATTTTGAATCTCCCGCGCAAGATATTGTAGACGAATTCGCTATGAGATATGGCATAGAGTCCATTTACCAAGCGATGACGTAAGTTCATTATACTTGATAATTTTAAAACTATAATATTAATAGGAATAATCTCGTATTCCAGACACTTTCATTGTCTTTCAACAAAATATTTATGCCCTGGCGTCCCGGCGGTAATGAGTACTTTGTTAGCGAATATCAATGCCTACTATGCACACACAACATCCAGCTCCGCCGTTAGCGCAAGCGACCGTTTTGCAGCATCGAATTTCGGGGTAACTATCATTACCGATAAAAATATATAATGTTACTTCCAATCATGATTTTTAAATCTTCTTCATTCATTATTTATAGAAAGAAAAATTCGTAAAGCTGCTTGATCAGCTACATAATTCGCTCAGAATAGATTTATCAATGTATAGAAATAACTTTCCGGCATCCAGTCAAGAAAAATTAATGGATCTTAAATCGACTGTCGATTTGTTGACCAGTATCACATTTTTCAGAATGAAGGTAATTTTTTTTGATATAATGATGATATATAGTAGCACAACAATTATTACATAATTTATATTTAGGTACAAGAACTTTCAAGTCCACCCAGAGCTAGTACCGTTGTCAAGGACTGCGTCAAAGCATGTCTAAGGTCGACTTATCAATTTCTGTTTGCTAATTGTTATGATTTATACGGCAGAGAATATCAGGTATTTATTTCCACATATCCACATTAAATTTGGATTTGGGTTTCCGGTGTAACAATAATGCATATTTTAAATTTAAATAATATTAAAAATTGTACCGTTTATTGATCAATTTAAATTTTAAAACGTTAAACGCAAATTGTTCGAAAACATAATATATAAATATACAAAATTTTATAACAATTGCTAATTACATGAACTATTTTGTTTTAAAGACTGATCCAAATGAAAAAAGGGATGAAGACACGGGGCCAAAGTTAGACGATTTAGGCTTTTGGGATAAGCTTGTAGCACTCGTTGCTTCCGTAATCGAAGAAGATAGAAATAGTTATGCACCTGTTCTAAGTCAATTCCCAGCAGAACTCAATATAGGACAGGTAAATAGTTATCTAATATATTTTTAATTGTATTATTTACATATTATATTACAGCCATGTACCTACCTAATGACGTATATTCACAAACCAAAATATTTTTTTATAGTTGTCCGCAGCAACAATGTGGAGCTTCTTCGCCGTAGACATGAAATATGCTCTAGAAGAACATGAAACACACAGACTTTGTAAAACTTCAGCATACATGAACCTACATTTCAAAGTAAAATGGCTGTTTACTAATTATGTAAAAGACGCACCGCCGTACAAAGACGCAATTCCCGAGTACCCATCTTGGTTTGAACCGTTTGTAATGCAATGGCTAAATGAAAACGACGATGTGTCTTTGGAATATTTGCACGGAGCTTTTAACAGGGACAAAAAGGATGGGGTGAGCAGGCGTCGTCTTCTTAAACTTTGATCAGAAAGTTTTTTAAACTTTATTTTGTAATTATAGTTTCAAAGAAGTTCGGAGCATGCGTTATTTTCCAACTCAGTGGTGGACGTATTCACTCAGCTTACACAATGTTTTGGGGTCATATCAAAATTGGAATGTCCAGACCCCGAGATATCCAATCGATACATGAAACGACTTGCTAAAACGATTGTCAAAGTGTTATTGGCATACGTTGATATAGTTCAAAAAGAATTTGACGCTAAAGAGTTAGATGAAAGAACAGTGAGTTTAAAATATTTTAGTCGTTTATGTATATTCATTCAATTTGAAAAGAATATATTAAATAAATGTATTAAATGTACAGGCTTGTATATTAATGAATAACATCCAACAACTACGAGTACAACTAACAAAAATGTTCGAATCAATGGGTGGTAAACAACTGGAAGAAGATGCTACAGATATTCTAAACGACTTACAAACGCAATTATTGAAAGCTTTAGATGAACTATCTGGGAAATTCGGAAAAAGGTATTTACAAATAATATTTAACTATGTGTATAATTGTACATACATTATTTAATTGCTTACCAACTAAAATACTAACAATTTCGAGATGTTAAAGTCTTAAAAGTTAAATTTTTATGTAATATTAAATTGTGCTGTGGATTTAAAAATGTGTAAATATATAATTTAAAAAATCTAATTAATTTTTTAGTTTGGAACCTCAAATAAAGAAAAGTGTCAAAGAACTTGGTGAGTTATTGCAAAGTATCAAAGGAGGTAGCCAAAATCCACAACAAGTGTCTATGATGGAAGTAGACGAAATATTAAGGCCATTAATGGATCTGATGGATGGCTCATTATCATTATTTGCTCAAACTTGCGAGAAACCAGTACTAAAACGAATTCTTCGAGAATTGTGGAAACTTGTAATAAGAATATTGGAAAGATCAGTAGTCCTACCTCCAATGATGGATAAAAGTGTAAGAGATATTACTTGAAACAAATAACACAAAACTGTACAATTTATGAGTGTTGGAATTGTTTTTATAAACTCATTATTTTTAATTTAGATGATATTGAAAAATCTTAGTGAAAACGCTAGATCGCTGGCAGCTAATGCAAGAATTGAAGACATGTCCAGATTAATTAGAAACCACATGGCTGGAAAACAAGACGTCAAAAATGCCCTAACAGGAGTGATGGTAATTATACAAATTATAATATAACATATTAATACACTCAATCTATTACAACCGACTTATGTAAACTTATTTACTCTAACTCACTCTCAACAAAAATTTTTTTTCCACTTCGACATTGATATTCGGCACTTTAGGTCTATTTTCAAGATACGTACATCATAACTCATAAATATGGTATTTTTGTTTTTTATTTTCTATACCTAATACGATTATGATCAAACGGCGTCTTGTATAGGCAATTAAGTAACACCTATGTCGGTTTCATTTTTTAGAAATAATTTTTTCATAATCACAATGAAATATTATTTACATACAGTGGTCTCTGCTTATTGGACTCGCGGTTAATTGACTCATTCGTCTATTATACTCAAAACAGCTGGTCCCGATTTGCACATATACTAACACACAGCAAAAAATTCGTCTATTCGATTCATACACCAGTTAATAGGATCATTTGAAAATTAGATAAATAAATAAAATATGTACATGCACTGAACAGACGTGTTATAAATGCGAAATAAATCAGTACCAGTATTTTGCTTTTATCACGGAGATAAAATAAATTGTTTTTTCACGATAAACCAAGACGTCGTCACTGTCAATTAGTACGACAGGTAGTGTATGAATAGACGTCGTCGTGTTCAGTGTGTTGTCTGTGTTTAATTCCTCTTTTTTAATTTAAAGATTTTTAAAAATTTTTTTTGGGTCATTCGCCTTATTGACTCGTTCGGTTAATGGACTCAAATGGTCAGGTCCCAAATTGAGTCCAATAAGAGGTGACCACTGTATATACATATTATTTACTAATGTATTTGATAAAAAAAAAAACACCCGGGGAACCTACTAAACCTAAAAATTTAGCGGTTATAATATAGTTTGAATGTACAAACAAGTTTAAAGTTTTTTATATTATGTAAATAAAATACTTGAAATCGTATATAATAAATAACAAAAATGGTGTTTTTCTCCTGAACATTGACTTCTTCTGGATACTTCTGAAACACGATAAATAAAATATGTTAACTTTCAGCTAAAACAGACTGAGTTAGATATATATAAGCGTTAACTTCAATGACAATGGAGTGTTTGGTCAATATAGCAAGACAAATTTTTTAAAAATCTAAAACTTTTATGGAAAAAAAAGAAATATTATCGACCACCAACCGACCGATAATATAATATAATGTTCTATATTTATTGTTTGTACAAAAAAAAAACACAATCCACTAATTAATTTTGAAACAAACATATGTATTTTTTTAGGATATGGAAAAGAACTTGAATACTAAGCAGTGCAGAGTCTTAGAATCTGCACTAAAAACAATTAAGACTTATTTCCATGCCGGTGGAAATGGACTAAAAAAGAAGTATTTGGATAAAAGCTCAGATCTTTTATCTTTATGCTATGCCCTGTCGCTTTACACAAGATCCACAGACGAACTCATCAAGACGTTTGTGTTGTCACAATTACATCAAGGTGTGTGGTATTTATGATTGTTAAAATAAGAAAAAGGGGGTGAATTTTTTTTTAATTTTAACCATAGAGTTTGAGTTGTGTTATTTCTTATTAATAATAAATATTTGTATTCTATAAAGTACCACAAAAAAATGATCCATTACCCCGACAACCGTCACTGATGAGTGGTACTGAGGTAAAAGATGAAATGGATGAAATGGATTATGACGAAGACGACGAAACCGAAGAGGAAGAAGCATTAGATGAAGCAGAAGAAGATGTAAAATCAATGGGAAGTCGAATGGAAAAACTATTTGAAATTTCAAGAAGGCCATTACAAGGTAAAATGTAACCTCTAAAGTAAACATTATTTTTGAAACCCTTTAAAATTACTTATAATCGTATAAACAGTTATATGTTATATTATGGTATTTATGCACATTTATATAAAATTCATGGTGTATAATATCATAGTACCTAGCTATAGGTGCAGAATAGGTACCCATTATAGTGCATACTTACTTTAAGTTAATAAGTTCTTATATTTTGCGTATATAATATTCAAAAATACAAGAAAAAAACGGTTCTTTATACTTTCTTTGCATGACCAAAAGTAGTTTTAAATATTTATGATAATGTCTAAAAGTTATTAACGAAAAATTGTTTTGTTTTTTTTGTTTACATGTTTGTAATTAGAAAATTACGTATATGAAGAACCTTATGGAGAAATTTCTATTAACGTTTACATTGAAACACATCCGACAAATAACGAATTTAAGCTCACTGTAACAGGTATGTATTATATTTAATATTTATGAGTATATTTTTCTTTATTAAAATTTCAATTTTTAAATAATGAATCGAGAATTTTCATTTAAAACCGAAAATAATTGTGTGGAGTTACATTTATGCAGCATAAAAGTTGATGACAACATAACGAAATTGTTAAAAAATATTAAATTTGTGAACATTCGGAAATAACAATCAACTAAAATCGATCTACAGTAATTTTTTATTTCATTTGCAAAATGTTCATTAATAAACCTTTTTCGGTTTGTTTACTAAATGGCTTTTGTATTGATTCTTTTAATACATAACTCTTTACATTGATTCTATACCTATTATATTTACTTAAAAACGAGTTTGTGTTGAACATACGATATTTTTTCTCTTTATTTCGGATGTTCACATGACACACAACCAAAAGAATATAAAATCATAAAAAACACTGAAACCATAAAACCTATACTATTCGCATCACTTTTAATACTCATACCTCAATAAAAAAAAACCCCCATTGATTTCTAATAATGGAACAACGCAATCTAGTTTGGTTTACAAAAATACATAAAAAAATCGTGTTCGTTTCACTTTTCACTTGCATATAATAAAATCTCATTTTATCCCAATACGGTACCTATATTTATTAGAAAATATAAACTGGAATATAATATATTGTGTTCGCCTCATAAATATATCAAACTTCGCCGCTGCCTAATATATAAATAAGTGCTAATTCTATCATAACCCCACGAGTGAACCTTATACCGTCAATTATTCAATAATAGTGCTAAACTAATACTTATTAAACACAAATCAAAAAGTATAAACATGCTGAAAACAAGCCAAATGACATATATTAATTATTTTACTGTTAACACAACGAACAGCTATTATAATAATAATAATAATTCGACTTTATTACGATACAGTTTTCTGTAGAAAAACCGTCACCTTTAACATTTACTGCTTTTATACTTTTCGGTGTTATGGGTATCATTAAATAATACTAGCGGTGTACATTATGTCTAATACAAAAGTTGTAATAATAATAGTAGGGTATGTATGCTATCAGTAAGAGTCTCGTACACGAGTACTTGGGTAGCGCTGGTATTCATAATAGTTAATAGGTATACTTTTCAAAAGTAATTATATCCCTTTAAAATGAATCAGCGCACCAAAATATAATAATATTATAACTATAGGTGCTTAAATGTTGAAATGAACTAATTTTATAATAATGCTATAATTCTACTAAACGTAATAACTAGGCATCCGTTATAATATTATCAATATTTGTAAAAAAAAAATGTAAATTTTCAGCGAATGGCCATCACTGCCTCATAAAAAAGAATATATATATTATCAATATAGACAGGTCCGATAGAAAACTCACATTGAGAATAATATTTTATATTGTTTATCTAATAAAATTTATCGAGTAAATCAAAATGCCTACAATGTGTTGTGTTTTAAATATTTAATTGATATCGTCATCTCGCATTAATTTAATACGTTGTATTATATTCTGCATGACACTTTTTTCGTAATATTGTAAGCTTCATATTATTATATTCACCTAATGACGTCGGTGTCCCTGTATAACAGTGGTTGCTGCCAACACGCTGGTGTGGCCGACGACTGGTATGTTTCGACCGTTTGTCGAGGTGAACCTTATCGGACCAAGACTAGCGGACAAAAAAAGAAAACAGTCGACGAAGAGCAAGTCGGGCAGTTGGAGCCCTAGGTACAACGAAGCGTTTGTTTTGTAAGTGTATAATGATTTTGATCGACGTAGAACGACACGGTCCGTTCTTAATCCGTCGATAATATTTTATTTTTTTCTACAGTTCGATTAGCGCCATCGAAGATTTAGAATGTTACGAATTGCACTTTTGCGTGAAAGACTACTGTTTCGCTCGGGAAGATCGACTCGTGGGCGTGGCGGTTTTGCAGATGCGACATGTTCCCATAATGGTAATTAATAATGAGGATGGGTAACGATAACCATAAACCGTGTACTACTAGACAAGAACTGTGTATAACAACAGCATGCGCAACAATATCTCTCAGTGATGTAGGCTATATTTGCGAAAAAAATAAAATAATCTATGTACCTCATACCCCAATACCGAGTACGAGTAATCAAGTAACCAAAAAGCTCCCCCTCTATGTCGTTGTTACTCTTTCCACACACTCATTGCTTGTCTAGCAGTAGGTCGACGGCGAACACAAAACCCCAAAAACTGTTTTTACTGTTTCGTCTGAACGTCACAATATTTGATGTTTAAGGTCCGTACCGGCGAATGGCTGGGCCTCGGCAGGCGGATACAAATGAACGAGACTGGGTGGACGATTTTGCGGATACTCTCACAGAGGTACAACGATGACGTGGCTAAGGAATTCGTGAAGCTCAAGTCGGAGACCAGACAGGAGGACCAGTCGTCCGTGCAGGGGTCGTAAACGCAAAACCGACGTGGGTATTCGTCGCCAATAGTCTTCCAGTGAAAACTAAAAAATTAAGACTAGTTAAAACAATAGATTAAGTTCGATATATTATTGTACAAAAAAAAAAAATGAAAATCGATCGAGTAAGAGTTGTGAATAGTAATAACGTAACTGCAAGGGCACAGGCATAATGGAAGTTCATGTTTCCATTATTATTGTATTATAGTCGGAAAAGTAATAGTTTCGAAGCGAAATAGTAACGTTGGCCCTTTTCGTATTCATTTTTTGTGTAGAAAAAAATATACACGTTCATGGCAATAAATTCCGAGAGCAAAAAAAAAACACATTAAAAATTGACCAACATTTTGAGTTTTAAACAAATCAACGGGACCACTCTCAAATTAAAAATTAATTATTCAATTTAATACACTGCAGCAGTGTTGGTTGTAATGATAAATTGTAAAACTTTCTGTGTGCGGTAGATGCCCGGTGTACCGGGGCGTTTGGATGGAATAGGGTGAACACCACTAATTTTAAGGTGGCTTTGAATATTTTAATATTCAAACATTTGTTGTTCTAAATTCGCAGTACAATATTTAGGTAAATTAAAACTATTCTACTGTTTAAAATGGGGGACACGATAATAATAATATGATATACATGGTGCGCCATGCCGCAAATGCCGAAATCTACCTACCTACCTACCTACCTACTGTAATATACCTGTTATTAAATGCGCTCTGTTGTTTTTAACAAACCAATATTTTTGTACAAAAAATGACATTCCATACCAACCGCGGTAATGTCGTTTATATATCGTTACCTATTCCTAGCACTAAATAGGACGCAACTACAATATTCTGCACACCAATGATACATAATAATATAGAATAATATAATATATTGTATCGAGATGATGGGACGTCATTTTTTCTCCGGAAGTCCCGACAAAATATTATGTATTGTTGTCGCCGTTATTGTCGTTGTTGTTTTTTGTTGTTGTTGTAGTTGTTGTTGTTGTTGTTGTTGTTGTTTCGGTCGGGCCTCTACTCCGGACACCTCTGACCGACGGCAAATCGTTAAGCCAAACCGCTTGTAATCGATCCGCAAAAACCGATTTCCATCCGGTCGGGTGCGTGATTGCGGAACGCATTATCGTTTTTATCTCTTATATATAATAATATGTTATATTATTCTGCAGGTGATCATGTCTATTCCAATACTCTGACTCAAGTATATATTATTATTATTATTATTGTGTAACGTACATTTCCTTGGACTCGACGACTTGATAATACGAAATTTCGGTCATTTTATTGTGAAACATTGAACATAAAAGCTGTACGGTCATGTTTAAACATAATCCATCGTTATACCTACCATCGCCTATACCTATTATATTACCCATATTTAAATGCTTTAAACTATTGTGCAACTCTAATAATAGCATTAAACTACCTTACACGTGTTATATACATATATATACATATATATATATATATTGACTAATAACGTCTTCCATTACATCATGTTGTTTTCTTCTAGTACGCGTCCATTTTGTTGATTTCGTGTAGAGAGATTACTTTGTCGTTCTTGTTTTCATTCCATTCGCTCGGTTATTTTCTTGTAATTTTACATAATATTTTCTTAGTGTCGTTAAGTAATTTGCATTGTAATCGTTTAACACTATTCGTTCTTGATTGATTTTCTAGGCTATTGAGCATTTTACGGATATAACATTTTACAACTTCCCGACAAACTCTGAGTAAACTATAATACTACGTGTCAGCGGGAAAATAATAATAATAATTATAATAATAGGCCTCATTCTTATACCTACTCTTATTCCAAATTCGCATTATTTACTTGGTAATATTCAACATTTTTGGGAAACACCTATTTTTTTATTCAATAGGTTATAATTCATATTATATCCGTCCTAATACCCAATTATATTATTGGTCAAAAGGGTTTCACATGTAATATTGTTTTCACAGCAATAATTAATTCGTATTCGTATTGTAAAAAAATATATTTAACCCAACGCATAGTTGAATATTATTTACAAAATAAAATGTGATAAAACATCGATATATTCAAATTATTTTTTATCAATTGTACTGTAAATTAATGTTAAAAACCAATATTTATTAATATTATAACAATATGTGTATATTATATGAATTAACTATTTAAGCTAGCAAAACTATTGTAAACTACATGATGTGCAGGTGGCCTACGTTGAAAACTTTATACAAGATTTTGTTTCAAAAGTTACCTTCCAAACTCTTATCCAAAACACTCGTTATGTTTATTATGTTAATTTCCCAAACCCAACCAACCATACCATACATATCGATCGATCGTTTCTTATTTTATGTTGCTATAAATAATTATTATATTAGTATTGTGCTAATGATAATATTAATCTATTAATTTATTGCTATAATCATGTTTGTAAGTTCAAGTATAGGGGCCTTTATTTTTTATATTATATATAACTTAGACGTTGAATATTTTAGTCGAATCTGTTAAACTTCGGTTTTAGATTGTTATAACAAACATTTACTATATATCGTCATTATGATTAACCAGGGTAAACGTATTAAGCAATGTGTTGTTTTTGTATTAATATTTTATTGTAATTATGCACTTATAATAATTTTTTAACATTTTTTTTTTATATATAATATAATATATACCAAATTCGGTTTCTATACAAACATTTATAAAAAAAAAAAAAAAAAGAATGAAATGAAAAAAAACGCAAGACAATATGATAATTATATTGTTTGAACCGAAACTATTTATTGTGTTACTGCCCATAACGTAATTTTTCGGTGTACTTTCAAACGGTGTCTATGAAAAATTATTAACTTGTCTATGCTCCTCTATTATCTTAGTCTTATACTTGATATTATTATTTTTGATTTCATTCAAAACGAGTAAGTTATTAATATTGTTATATTTGATTTGTAAAGATAAATGAAATCAACAATAATACCTAATCATCTATATATTTAAGCTGAATAAAGTGCGCTTTTTGTCTATACTTCCTAATTTAAGTCCTCCTCGTTGTTTTTAATTTATATAAACGGTGTGGCATGGTAACGATAATAATATACTGATAACAACAGCCGCGCCCGTCACCATAATACCCATTTAATCATTATTATTATTATTATTATTAATATTACTGTTGTTGTTGATGTTGTTATTATTATTATTACACTGTTATTATCATTACTAATGCCTGCCACTCTACCTTATTATTACTACTATATACTATACGAATATATAATATATATATACATATATTTTTAATTTATTGGAGAATTCCTTTTTAAAATTCATATCTCTCGTACTTTTTAAACATAATAATATAATATATTGTATAACTTGTGCATAATACAATGGAAACTTGACATTTGTACGTTGTATACTTACATTACTTGTTGAAAATAAACTGAGGTTTTTGTTAAACATATATAAATCTACTTAGTGGCGCCCAGTCCATATGCAAAGTATACCGACCCAGAAATACCTTTATAGATTTCGTAGGTGGTGGGTGTCTATGCCTGAGAAAATTAAATCTTAAAACAACTTAAATTCATAGATATTTCGATGATAATATCCATATTAACAGGTACAATTTTTGAAGTGAAACTTCTTTAGGGGCGGTAGTGAAAGTCGGATTCATGCGGTCGGCTGTTGTGACCAAAAAGGGTTACAGTCGTGACTTTCTAGACACTAAGCGTCCAATCAGACAGTCGGATTTTGCTGTGAGGTCACGGTGTTTCTTCTAGAACAGAAAATAGATGACGTATCATTCACCTTCTAGATCCCTTTGGTTACTAATTTTACCATCGTCCATCAGGTTAAAATCGAAATTGTTCAGTGATGCCCTCGTGGCCACTTACTAGGATAAAAAACGAAAATACCCTTTCACTTGTTATGTAAAACCGCTTAGTGGTTTATAACCACCTTAGTGGCAACTAGCTCCCTGCGGTTACCCCAGTTGAGTTGTTTGAATCATGTGAATCTAGGTGGCTGTTCACCAGAAAATATGGTGGAGCAGGCGAACTGGCCGAACAGGGTGAACTGACCGGTCGCCGAAAAATGTCACTGTCCGTTTACCGCAATCTAACTCTACATAATATAAATAAATCGGTCGTCTGTTTGGACCCTAAGGTTTCTGTAGTAATAAAAAATAATCAACTTGTCTTATCTTTGTAAAATAATAGTAAGTTAGTTTAAAATTTTATTTTTTTATTTTTTCATAACAAATTTAATATTTGACAGTGATGAACCTCTTTTTAAAACCCTCTGTAAAGAAATTTCACTTCATCAGTGTATACTAATGCAATTTTCAATAAGCACGATTTTTTGGGGGGGGATTGGCCCAACTAGAATACTTCATGTTGTGGTCGCTACACATTGGAAATAAGAGGAGAAGAATATTTAAAGGAAAATATTTAATAACTTTTGTTGGATGGATAAAAATATGTCTTTGGGCGCCACTGATTTTGACTATAATAATAATAATTTGACGATGATGACGCAATAATAATATAATACTGCTGTCGGGATGCGCTGCTGCAGTCTGTGAGTAATAAGGTAAGATTCCGAGCAAAATGCAAATGGCCTTGCGAAAGAATTGCGGTGCTAAATCTAGATTAATCGTAAACGAGAAGAAAATTGTACATTTGCAGAGCAGCGCCACTGTCAGACGTAATTAGAGTCAACTATAGGTGCGCATGTAAGTACCTATATTATAATAAATAATAATATGTATTAATAGGCTGTAGCTGGAACAAATTTTCGGGGCTTAAAACCAAACCGTTTATTTTCAGAATATGAAAACAATAAACTTTTAAAAAGTGTACTTAGGTATGCATACCTATAAAATGTTACAGCAATACGTCTAAAATAAGGATTTTTATGCTTCACCCTTGTGATTTATACAATTTTTAATTAAATATTTTTAAAGCATGAATTCTAGCAGTCTTTTTTCTTTTCGACACTATACGACCTACTTGGCCTAGTATTTTAATGGTAGAAAACCGGTTATGTAACTAATAATTTCGAAAGAAAAGATATATTTGAAAAAAATCAGAATTTGACGACATGTGGCGCGAACGGCGGCTATAGGATAGAACTATACATGGTACAAAACGCTACAATAGGGGAAGTTACGTCCTTAGATCTTACACTATAAATTTAGTTACACCTGCTATGCCGGTGCAGATTTGATGCCAAAATGACTGGAAAGCTAAAGCCTTGGTTATTAGTAATTACTTATTACTGTGCACGGGTGAATGACTGATAAGTGATAACCCAATCAGAATGACCAATCTGAATTAAGGGCATGCTCTTTTCATTATCGCTCCAACACGCTGACAAAGTCCTGCGCAACATGTGGCACTTTTATTTTTTTCATCTTTTCTTGTTATATTATAATATGAGCATCAGTAAGTTTAGGTTTCTAAACAGTAAACGGTTGCCTTAGAACGTAATTCCAAATGATTTTTACGAATACACACTCTATCAATGAATTTATAAATTGAATACACAGAGTGGCGTAGAGTTGGAAAAATTAAAACAGAAAAATAAACCTACACAATTCTAACGGTACATTTTTCGAGACCACAATATGGACTAGTTATAAACTTATAAATTAATGTTTAAGCCGGTTATAAAAGACTGATAACTAAGAAAAATAAACGTTGATTGAAAATACGTGAAAAATACAAGAATTTACAAAGAAATATACTCGTATGCTGAAAAATATTATTAGTAAACTTAGTACTCAGGAGTCAGGGAACGGGCGACTCTTTTTACGCCAGTCTGAAAAAATGATTATGGAAAAAGCTACAGAAAAAAAACCAAACGTAGAAAAAACATACTAACACATCCCATAAAATGACGGAAGGTTAGGGAAGAAATAATTAATTTAAGGAAGAAATTGGAGTGTATCGATACATTCATATATCGGGTCAATTTTGAGCGTTCAAGAAGTGACACGTGCAAATATACAAGCGATAATTACCGACCCGTATCGGACTTAAACTCCGATACGAGTCGGTACGACTCCCCATACGTATCAAATTTTGCTTCCTGAAAATTATGATTCTTTGTCTATAATGGGGGCCAAGCAATGTACAAATAGTGCATATTATGTGCCACATGAAAAAAAAATGTGACTGTCCCATTCAATTGTAATGATTAGAGCTAGGATTTTGGTGACTTTTGCATTTTTTTCCTCAAAGTGTTATACAATTCTAACCAAAAACTAAATTTGTTTCGTAATATAACAATTAAAATATGTAATTTTTAGGAGTTTTTTGCATTATTTGTGTTAAATGCATTTTATAACATTTTTAAGGTCATTTTTACGTAATATTACAAATATTACGTTCATTTTGTGTATTTAAACTAATTGTTGTTTATTTTAAGCTTTTTTATTATGTGTTGTAAAGGTAATCCCAATTAGTACCCATAGGCAATTACCTACTCCAGTCCATTGATATTGAAAAAGTAATATATATATATATATATATATTGTCGATTTATCCGATAAGATGTAATATCGAACGAACCCATAACTATTTAGGTATACAATAGTAGCTTTAGTAGTGAATTCGACACGTACCTATGTGGTTCTACCGATCTTAACTGTACAAAATGCCAAAAATTAAGTCAACAGTAGGAAGCCGTTTACGTAGTTTTGTGAGCGAGTTTGGCGCCGATATTTTTTCTACTGACTGTATGGTGCTTTTTTGTAAAGTTTGTAACGTTGCAGTTGCCTCCGAAAAAAAATTTACAATTATTCAACACATCAGTGGAGATAAGCATGCTCGTGGAATTCAACCAAAACTGAATGAAGTGAAACAAAATAATCAAGTACTATTATCTAATTTAACAAATAATAGTGATCAATCGTCATTTAATTTAGAGCTTTGTGAAACATCATTAATAGCTAATATTCCACTTGCTAAATTAAATAACACAAATTTTAGACATTTTTTAGAAAAATAAATAAAATTTAAAATCCCAGACGAGTCTACATTGCGTAAAAATTATGTTGAAAAATGCTATTTAAATACAATACGAAATATTAGACACTGTATGTAGACGATAAAAAAATTTGAGTTAGTGTAGATGAATCGACAGATGTTGAAGGCCGTTGTGGTAGTAAATATTATTATTATTTGTACCCTGGAAGCAGAAAATTCAGGAAAAATATTTTTGTTATATTGTGATGTCTTGGAAAGAACAAATCATTCAACCATTGCAAAAGCGTTCGATAAAGCCATGTTTACATTATATCCTGAAGGAATAAAACACGATAATGTCCTCATTTTTGTACCTGATGCTGCCCCATATATGGTGAAAGCAGGAAGAGCCATTTGCACTCTGTATTCAAAAATGGTGAATTTTACCTGTGTGGCGCATGCAATTCATAAAGTTGCGGAATAAATAAGATCAAATTTTCAAGATATCAATAAACTTATAAGTTGAGTAAAAAAAAATATGTTTAAAATCACCATATCGTACACAAATGTTTAAAACTCTTGCTCCACGAATTCCATTGCAACCCGAACCCATAATCACGCTATGTGGAACCTGACTAAAAGCTGTAAATTACAATTGTGAGAATTTTTCTTATGTAAAAAAAGTTATGAACTTGAATTAAATCATGATGATTTGACTACTATAAAAGAAGCGAAAGAACTTACGTCTAAATTAGTCCTCTTTTCGACTTGCCAACCGTCGGCTTTAATTTCTATAATCTATTGCTATATATAGTATGAATGCAGTAATTAAAAACTTAATAAGAGAGTAATTCTGGTGAAACCCCGGGAAAAGATTGTCAGAGTATAATAACAAAATAATAATGTTTGAATACAAATTTTAGTATCATTGCTTCTGCTGAAAATTTTAATATGAACTTAGTTGTTCCCTCATTATTTTTACACAATTAGAGTTATAAAATATGATAATATATTATTTGATATCAGTTTCTCTCAGTGCTATCAAAAAAAAATGTTATTAGATCACAGTTGTCAATTCTAATATAAAATTGAAATTCTAAGTTATTATGCACTACAAAATCCGTGCCTCACACTAGCTTCTCAGTCAGTATTGAAAAATTACTAAACATATTTATTTTGTTATTTTATTCCACCAGCTTTTTTAAATTTAAAGTCACTCGATAAGATACTATTAATATAATATCACAATATTAACTAAGGTTTTGTTTTCTTCGTCCTACTGTGAAATAATAAACTGTTTTATGCATTTGAAGGTATACTATAAGTCCTAATATTTGTTTTTATTAATTTCGTGTAGAGATGCCTACATGAAACCCCTTAAAAACCAACTGTGCACTCAATACGGTCACACCATCGCCACCAATTGGTGGAAAAAGGTAACAATTGATTATGAAAATAAAAAAATACATACATTTATAATAAATGTGTAAAGTGATAACATATTATCCACACATTTTTTAATATATTAGTCAAAAAAAAATATTACAATTTACAACCATAAAAAAATATTTTATAAATCATTTGATAGTATGAAAAGGTCCCAATGCTATCTACACAAAGAATTTCCAATACTCCATAAAAATGTACCTATATTACTCTTTGTTATACCACGAGTAGTTATATTGTATTTAATACATTCAAATATCATACTACATTACTACCACCTATACAAAGATGAAGAGTAAAAGATATGTTTTATTATGTTTTCACATAATTTTATGAAATAAAAACAACAAGATTTTTCAAAAGAAATACATTTTTTATACTTCAATATTTTTAAATGTTAAACCTATTAAATATATACCTATTAACATATATGCAGCTTACCTTCCTCCTCGCCATACTATTACCCATAACCAACTTAACGACTTCTTCAACACACTTGGACAAAAATTTATTATAGGGGGTGATTTTAACGCAAAACACATACAATGGGGCTGCCGTACAAATAATCCTCGTGGTAATACCCTCAAAACTCTAACCTACGTCAAAAACTATAAAATACACGCCCCTCCTTCTCCGACCTACTGGCCCTCTTCACCCAGAAAAAGCCCGGACATTCTCGACATTTTCATAACAAAAATTCCAAACGGGCTATATACCACAGTTACCAACTTAGATGACCTTTGTTCTGACCATTCTTCTGTCATCTTCACAATTGATACAGCTCCTCGTTATAAACCCGATAGACCTAGTCTTATCCAAGGCCAAATGAACTGGGATAAATTCAAATCATTACTTGAAAGCCAAATCAACCTAAAAGTTAGTTTAAAATCCACTGTCGATATTGATGACGCTGTTAACCATCTAATCAAATCAATACAAGATTCAGCTTGGTCTTCCTCCTCTCCACTTCCTCCTAAAGACCACGCTAGGAACTTACCCTTACATATTAGGGTCCTAATTTCTGAAAAACGAAAAGCCCGATCTATCTGGCAAAGAACTAAATACCCCTCTGATAAACGTAAATTTAACAACCTCTCGAATAAACTAAAACGAACATTGGCCTCAATTAGATCAGAAAACTTTACGAGGAATCTTGTTTCCCTATCTACTGCCGATAATTCACTGTGGCAAACCACAAGAAAAATACTCCGCTCCCGACCTCATGTACCTCCTCTGAAAAAAGCTGATGGATCATGGGCCATCACTGATCTGGAAAAAGCAAATATATTCTCCCGCCACCTCGCCACTACCTTTCAACCACACAACAATTTATGCCCAATTCAAATCGAAACAGTAAACCGCTCCCTACTCTGCGCTCTACCTATGACCCTTCCACCTAAACATATTCGCCCGAGCGAAGTTGAACATGCAATACAGCAATCTCCTCGTCGTAAAACCCCAGGTTATGACCTAATTACATCTGAAGTAGCAATGAAGTTACCCAAAAAAGCTTTACTAATGCTCACGCACATATATAATTCTATGCTGAGGCTCTCATATTTTCCAGTCTTATGGAAGTTCTCTGTAATTATCATGATTCTCAAGCCAGGAAAACCACCAGACTCTCCTAAATCTTACAGGCCAATCAGCCTTCTTCCATTATTTTCAAAAATCTTTGAAAAAATTATCCTTAAGCGCATCCTACCCGTCATTGAATCCAACCTGCCTAACAACCAATTTGGTTTTCGTCATAATCACTCAACCATTCACCAGATCCATCGCCTAGTTGATAACATTTCCTACGCTCTGGAAAAAAAGCTAATATGCACAGGTGTATTCCTCGACGTGGCGCAAGCTTTTGACACCGTCTGGCATGAGGGACTCCTCCTTAAGCTTAAAACTTTTCTCCCCCCCTACTACTATTTGCTGTTTAAATCCTACCTTAAAGACAGACACTTCTCTGTCCGTTCAGGATCTGCTATATCCGAAATATTCCCGATCTGTGCTGGTGTTCCCCAAGGAGCAGTTGCAGCTCCATTACTATTCAATCTATTCACATCTGATCAACCTACTACTGACTATACCATAACTGGGGACTTTGCCGACGATAAGGCACTCTTGGCTCTCCACACAAACCCTGAAACTGCCTCAAACTACATCCAAAACCACCTAAATCTCTTATCAATATGGTATAAAGATTGGGGGATAAAAGTCAATGAAACCAAATCCGTCCACTGTACGTTCACGCTTCGGCAAGCTGTTTGCCCTCCTGTGTACCTTAATCACCTTCCACTTCCATCTGCCCAAAACGTTCGCTACCTAGGTCTTCATCTAGACCGCCGGCTAACCTGGGCAACGCATATCCACACAAAACGGCTTGCTCTAAATAATCGGACTCGTCAATTACGCTTTCTATTAACTTCAAAACATCTAAACCTTAAAAATAAACTTCTCTTATACAAATTACTTCTCAAACCAATATGGACATATGGCATCCAACTATGGGGTGCTGCCAAACCCTCCAATATTAATAAAATTCAAACTTTTCAATCAAAATGTCTTCGAAAAATAACTAATGCCCCATTTTATGTCTCTAATGATACTCTCCATAAAGATCTTTCCATCCAAACTGTCAAAAACGTTGCCAAGTCCTTCTACAAACGCATGCACACCAATCTTCGCAATCACCGCAATCCCTTGATTTCAGAACTATCTATCCCCACTATTCCTGGTGACCCCAGAAGGCGACTAAAACGAACGTGGTGTCGTGATTTACTTTCAGACTAACCTCCACCAACACATGTCATGAAGTCCCATCAATGGATGGTCTCTTCTCTCACGCCCCCTGTCTGAATTTTTGTAAATAATTGTAATTATCAACCCGTTGTTTATTACCTTATTTTCATCTTTTCTATATTATTCTATTCTAATATCACTTGTGCTTATTGTAAACCTTAATTTACAGATTGTACAATTCTCTTGTTTAAAAATAAAAAAAAAAAAAAAAAATTAAATATAGATGCATTTTTCTTACGGGGATTGGTTATCCGCCGTTTTTAAGTAGTAAAATCTAAACAATTGCCATGTGCATTTGGGCCGTGTATACGTGTGCGTAGTAAGTGATCACATTACACACTTTAATTATAAATGCAATTTATAAAAAATAAATATAATTAATATAATTAATAATTACAAATGTATGTATTTTTTTTAATTTTTAAAAATTGTTCTTTTTCCGTTTTTTTTTTTTTTTTTGTTCTTTTTCCTTGGTATTTTTTTCGAGATTCCTTTAATCGTGAGGTAAACTCAATTCACTCTTGGGTTGTAACTTGTGAGTCGGGCGTTTCATTGCATCATCCTGTTCAAACGTGATTTGCAACAATTTACTGTTATCAATTATACAACACGAACACGACGTTACGATAACTATTATTCCTGTTATCAGAATTCAATAAAAAAAACCACGTACTTATCTCATTCTGTTGTCTGTGCGACCGTGTCCCGCACTCCTGTCCTGGGACTTGAACTTTGAACATAACAACAACAACTCTCCCGATATCTGATTGTTGGTTATTATTTTGTGTTTACGACTTCGGTATTTACGCCGTGCACCGCGGTCGTCTCCAGTTTGATATTCGTGTCGAGTTGTTGTAGCTGTTGAGTTCGTGTGAATACGTCTAACTCTGCACATCGCAGTTAGGTATTTATTCGGTTTTTTAAGCGACGAGTAAATTTCGCTGTGGCCGTCCGATCTTACCTCGATCTAACGATGAACAGCAGCGACAGCGATGATTTGAACGAAGAATTTTTAACCGACGACCATCAAAATTTCTTATCCCAAGGTTAGTATCCCAAATAAAAAATATGTCCATTACCTACAAATTACAACATTATAATCAGACATTATTTAGGTTACCTGTGGAAAGGTTTATTATTTTATATTTCTAACTCCTATAGAGTGGTGTCGATTATATTATGAATATAAATAATAAATGCATACAATGTGTATTCGTACGATTCATGTATTTGCGTTAGTTTATCCCATCAAATAGCAAATTAAAATGTTTAAACGTTAAATTTTCACATGCATAAAATTACATGTTAATTATTGACTGCCTGTATAAAATACCAAGCCGTATGACAATAGGTACTCTTGACTACACTATACAGATGACTCCGAATATTTTCAATAATTATAAAATTTTTTCTTCTATTTAAGCTTAACAGTTCAGAATCAATTCTAAGATATGTATAAAAATATATATTAGGTATCGACATTTCAGTATGAAATTAAAAACTGAATGAATCAATATAATTTATGAAGAAAAGTTAGTAGTTATACCTAGCAGTAATTCAACTTTATTTTAAATCCCCGCTTGTTAGATTATCAAAACTATAATTTTCATTAGCCAGTCTTTGAATGAAACAATTAACATACCTGTGTCTTTATAATTTTAATTTTTACTGAAACATTTGTTATATTTTTGTAATTGGACATCTATGCTAAAATATAATATATTCATTCTGTGAACACTCAATAAACCTAGGTTACATAAATATCAAAAATATGTTGTAATTTTATGTTAAATTACATCTTATGTTTGTTATTCCCAGTAAGCATAGAAAACTGTTCAAAATAATTTAACTTATGATAAAATGTTAGTAATATACCCAGTAATATATATTTTTCAATATACTATATTTCTACTTGTCCATTTCAGATTTAGAAATTTTCTATCTGCTTTTTTTTAGGACAAGATACTCAAGATGGGGTGGAAATGGTCACATTGGACAATACAGACGACTCATCAAATCAAGGAGAAGTGTATGAACTTAAATTTGGCAAACCACTTAGAGAACAAGATAGATTCCTTCCTATTGCTAATATTGCAAAAATCATGAAAAAATCCATACCAGAGGGTGGAAAGGTTTGTTTATAAATTAACAATATTATACCTACTGCATACTTACAAGTACCTAACAATATTAATTACTATTATTAGATAGCAAAAGATGCTCGAGAATGTGTACAAGAATGTGTTTCTGAATTTATAAGTTTTATAACCAGTGAAGCTAGTGACAGATGTTTCCAAGAAAAACGTAAAACTATTAATGGAGAAGATATTCTTTATGCAATGTCTAATTTAGGTTTTGACAATTATGTAGAACCATTGAAACTGTATTTGCAAAAATATAGAGAGGTAATATTATATTTTTTCCCTGTTAAAAAATAATATTCATTAATACATGATATTGAAATGTTTAAAGGCTACAAAAGGAGACAAATCAATTGGAATTGAAGAACTGTCGGATGACGTGTTTTGTAAGTTTTTTTAATTCCCCCTGGCTTAATTTTGTTCTATAAAATATTAATTTTTAATAATTTATTGTTTTGCTTATGTACATAGCCAATGACACAAGTTATACAAAAATATTTGGACAAAACAGTCAAAGTGAATCTGTCATTTACTACCAAGATCCAATTCAACAATTCCACATAGTATAGTTAATTTAATTCTTTTTATTACTTTGTCATTAGACTGTAACTATACATGTTCAAAAAAAAAGTTATTGCACTATTGTAGCTTTAAGATATAATCTGTAAAGGATATTTTATATACTATATAAATTGATCTACACTTCGATTTTTTTTTTTATATTTCTTACTGGAAAATCTATTAACACATTTAGGCAAATTCATTATAGGTACTATAAGAATCCTTAAATCAGTGTTTCCTAACATTTTTACCACCACGGACCACTTTGACAATATTTTATAGGTCCCAGACCACCTCAATTTTACAAAAACTAGGAAGACCTTTTTTTTTCTTTTTTTGTCATCTACAAGAATTTCTATCATGTTCCTAAATAAGTCGTAATGTTTTTTGCTATTTAAAAAAAAATAATAAATAATTTGTAATAAAAATTGAAGAAAAAATCTATGATACCGCAAACCACCTTTGAACTGGTTGGAAACACTGCCCTAAATAGTATAATATAATTGTATATAGAATTTGTAGTGTGACTATTTTTTATTGATATCTCAAAAAGTTCATTGGGTTAAAATTAAATAATAATAGTAATTAATTATTACAATAACTCAACTTCCATTTAAATTTACAAAACAACATTCAAATAATTTTTTGTTCAATATTTTACTATTACAATATTCTAAAATGGTAATTAAAATACTTTCTATTCATGTAGAAATAATTTAAAGCAAAGAAGCCTTGTTAATAATTAATCATAATATAATTTTAAAATGCATTAGTACAAAATAAATATTTTTCATGATAGTTGTATTATAAATTTGATACTGCAGATTTTGTCCCATACTTGAATAAACATGTTAAAGAAATATAGAGTCACTATTAAACTGCAAAACACCTTATCCCAAAATACATTATTTTAAGAACAAATCTATTTAATTGTACAATAATGTACATATTTCTAAGATTTTTCTATTTTAAAAAACTTGGTAAAAATTAATATTAGCAGCGAACATGACTTTTAAATATGATGTTTTATTTAAATTCTTAGGTTACAGTGACAATGTAATTAATAATAATTATGGCCCGAAACATGATGCATTTGCATCTTTTTTTTAATGCTTACATTCGAGGCTCATCTTAAGAGAAATTTGGTTCGTTGAGTATAGAATTTAATGATACAATTTTGATTTTGCATTTTAAGGGAATTTTATGATTTAATGTTATTTTTTATTATTTTTGTGGCATTTTACTCATTTTTATATTAATTTTTACAAATATTTGTATTATTTTTGTTGAAAGTTATACTTTATTTTCACACATTCAGTTTCCATCAGCTTGTTGATTATCGCCGTTCATTATCTTAGTTTATTGTCGCACTCTACGATAATTTAATAAGCTTTAGGTAAATACTATTTGAGGCTATGTGCACACGTGTGTTATTTTGAAGTACCGTTTCCGTAATGAGCTCCTTTAATTTTACTGATACACATAAAACATACAATAACGCATCAGTGTGATTGACGTTTTACAACATTGTGGCTTAGCTCCAATCACATCTGTAGAAGTCTAAAAAAGTTTTTCAACTTACAAAACTTTATTATCAGACAGTCGCAGACATTTTTTATTTTAATATTACACACATTATACACACTTTAAACGTTCAGTGTAACACATTTATTGTTTGGAAGTATTTACATAGCTTAAATTAAAATTTTGGTGAATATTTTATAAAGATCTTTAAACACAATCTCTGCTTTTTGGAAGTGTTGCAATAATGTCTAATTTCCTACATTTATAAAGTTACATTTTATGTATATGTACCCACCTATATTTTATTATTTTGTTTTAATTAATATGTAAGGATGTTATTGTTGCAATAAAGTTATTATTATTAAGTTCCGGACCCTAATAATAATACATAGTTATTTCATAGATTTGGTCCAACTAATATCAAATTATCCATATTGGCCAAATGGTCCAATCCATTTTTATTGAGTCAAAGCTATGAACTGGTTCTAAATTAATTGTTTTAATGTCAATAGCAAAAAATAAATAAGTTTGACATCTACGCTCATGTCTTTAACAATTAAATTAATAATGTTACATAAATAATAAATGAATCTCTCTTCTAATGTTAATACTACAAAAAAGTAGCATTATTGTTTTTATATAATAACAAATACTAACTAAAATTGTTATTCTTTGTTTAAATATTGAATTTCGTCCAAATCTTTAAATATCTATGAAAAAAAACCTTTCTTAGATTTTGGTTAGGTGTATTATGAACTACTTATGAAAATCTTTGTTATAATTTTTCAATCCTTTCACCTATAAAGATAAATTATATTAAATAGTGTAAACTACAAAATAATTTGCAAATTGTTGTGATTTTGATTAATTTTAAATGCTTAGGTATTAACAAATTTGTTTTATAATTGTCGACATTTTTAGTTTGTACATTATGCATTAGTTATGAGGAATCTTGTATTACATTTGTAAACCGTTTAGAGTTACACCAAAAACCAAAATCGATATTGTTGATAGCTGATTTTGCACGAAAATTCTCGTTGTAGTACATTTTGTTTTTTCAACAACTTTTATCATTTCTATTGACGAACATTAATTTTTTTTTACCCAACACTGAATAGCATTCATGTATATTGTATAGTATAGTATTGGAATACCAATAGGCTATAACTACCTATAGAAAGTATAAACTGGTTGTTAATCTATTTATAATTTGTATGATATAATTGTGTTAAATAAACACTATAACTATGGGTAAAAGAAGTGATTTTCTTCAGCGACCGATCAGTAAAACACCCTCTCAAAAATGACCTTAGTTCTTGAGACTAAATATCTCTACTAAACATGTCACAGTAACCGCTTTATCATGACGTTATGTCCTTTAATGTATAATCCTGAATAAACACGATATACAATATTGTGTAGGTATTTATCATCAATGTAAAGTTTACTGAAGGTGAATAATACATTTAAATTGGTAGGGAGAATTTTAAATTTACTTATTATCGCCTTTCATGGTTTAGGAACAACCACTAGAAAACATAACCATCCAAAGCATAGTCACAGAGTGAAATGGCCATGGCGTACGATTGTATTTTAAATTAAAGCGGGATGTTTACATCAGAATAGGGAAATCTGTGCAGCAAAATGCGTTTACAGTGCTGCCATTATAAGGAACATAAATAATTGTTATTGCACATTTTTCATACGACATAATCGTTTTACAATAATTCACCCATTGTACTTATATTATATTGAATAGGTCGCCGGGAATTTTTTTAAAACCCTAAATAAATTCCAAGTAATTTATAAAATCTTATTGGGGTGTAGGTAATTAATGCTATAAAAAACTGAACGGCTCTATAAATGACCTTAAAATTCAAAATAAGAACTTCTTATTCTGATTCATAAACATTTGAAACATATATTTAGTAAGACGAGCAACACATCAGCCAACTCTGAAAAACAATGCGTCAAGTGCATCGAAATCCCAGTCTTTATAATAAGTTTATTATATACTACAATAAATTGCAATTAAATGATTAATTCAATTGTATTAGATATGACATTGTGGCATGACTTTGGTTTATTTACATTTTACATTAGCACCAGCGGCACAACTACGGGGGTGCCCAAATGCCCTAAATTAAGTATCCCATCATGTTCCATGTCATTGTAATTTCAAATATCTATAGTTTAAACAATGAAATTTTATTTTCAAAAATTAATTATTATTTTCTTTTTCTTATTTTGCATTCTTATTTATTATATTATCATTGAATTATAATCATAAATTACAAAATGTAAATTTATAATCTTAGTAATTGTCTGAAGAGATTTATTAGGAGTTAAGAACATACTCAAAACAATACTACAATTCACAACGGCTACATTAGGGAAGGCCAAAATTATTATCAACATTTAATAGTGTCATTGAGTCATTTAAAAATATGAGAACAGCTAAAGCATTTTCACAATGATGGTTAAAACTAAAAATCTGTACAAATGTGTGAAAACATATGTAATATTGAACATGAACCATACAGGTATTAGTTAGCTTCTATATTCAATTCATCCTACGATTATGATATTTTAAAGTAAACTATTTAAAAATATAAGTTTTTAGGGTCAAAACAAAAAATAACTCAACCAAATATTTTAATAAATTTCCATTTGGAGACCATTACTTGACTTAGCTGATGACATTGTTCCAGAAGAAATATTGAACACATTTGATTTTATCGATAGGAAATTATGTTTAATACTTTATTTAAAAAAAAAAATAAAATGTGTTAAATTTTTTTTTCTAAAAATAGCATTGTGAATAACAATATAATCTAAATATTGGTAATATGAATATTAGGGGCCTATGTAAGCGATTCATAATTGTAGCTATTGTAGCACCTCCAAGATTTTAACTCTAGTTGCGCCACTGATTACCACATATTATAAAACATATGTAGTTTAAATAAATTTGTACGTAATATAAAGAATATCACTATGAAAGTATAATTTATAAGATCAATGTTTAAAATATTTTGTTATTTTATCCTAAATTAAATGATTTGTTTTTGAAAATTGTTTCCTCATAGAATTACCATTAAATTTTCTGTCGATTCCACAGCATGATGGAAACAAGTATTTAAATATGGCCCAATGTATTATTTGATCCCGATATGTGTTGAATCATATTGTTGACTTTTACAGTGATAACTGATAATTGAATTCTCTGAAAATATTAGGTTTTTTATATTTTTTTTTGTTTTATTTCATTAAACATTTTTGGTTTAATATTGGGTAATATAAACAGTGTAATGTGATCTGAACATTCTTTTGTTTCTTGGCACACTTCTCTATATCTTGACTCGGTTTTAATAGATAATAATTTCAATCTTTTTCTGTAATTGGTTTAAAACGTTGACTTGAACAGTCAACCAATAATTAATGACACACAATTTTTTTTTTTTTTACTGCAATCCAGCGATATAACTGGTTACTTCATCTAAATACGTGTCAGCCAATTTACAGATCATATTGTGTAATTTTGATCTTGTTCGACTGTAATAAAATCATCATTTTAAAATTTGAATTAACTGTTATTAGTTCAAAGTTAAGTAATTACATGGAAATCTTAACAATATAAGTATAAAAACAGTAATACCGTTAAAGTTCCAAATTCTTCAAAGCTGGGAATCAATTTGACAACTTCCTTCGCTAAGCTCGCTACGTCGCGGTGGTTGTGATAACGTTTGGCACAGATCAAATTATACAACTGCTTTTAAAATATATACCTATGCGTAAAAAAATAGTTGCAAATCAGATCTGTGAACATTATCCGAAACAACCACCACGTGATAAGAGAAACGGTGGTACATCATGACCAAATATAGGAATTCGCTTGTGGAGCCTGCTGCCGCATCACCCACTCACCCGTCAAACTCGTCGCGGCCGCACACACCACACGGGCACGTGACCGCACAGCTGGTTAACCCACGGTGGCGGCGGGGGGTCACGACAGTCGTCCGAAAAAGCGAATACGTCACCGGCAGCAGCAGCTGCTGCTGCAGCAGTACGTAGTTGTTATCGTGGAAATACCGAAACAACGGAGCAACTCGGTCCCCGCCACAAGTGAACGAGTTCGGGCAAGATGACGGTGGGGAACGTCGACCGCGTCCGGGGCGCCTGCCGCGCGCGGCACGCCGCGTGCGTGCGCCTAAGCGTTTCGGGCCGTCGGCAGCCATCTTGTATACCGTACTCTGTTCCCGAACCACACGACCCCGCACAGCCATCCTTTTCTGATAACCCGCACGCACGCACGCACGCGGCGCGCGTCCACGGTAGTGGTGCAATAAGCGGACACACTGACGCACACACTCACACACACGTCACACACACGCGTAGAACAATTCGTGTGCGCGTCGCTGCTGGTGGAACCGAATCTCACCAGCTCTACACAACGACGACGACGACGACGGCGGCGGCGGTAAATATACACACGGCACAGATACCGCGACGTTAATATTATTACGGTCGTCGGTTGTCTCGCGCGTACGCGTTTTCACGGCACACGGTGGTTCGGGCGTAACGCGTTTCACGTACACGAGACACACACGGTTCGCGGTCGTCGACGCACACTCCTAAACACGACGACAAGAGCATCGACAGCGACAGCACCATCAATCACAGAATCGTCGCAAAATGGCGTTGAAACGTATCAATAAGGTGAGCGGTTGAAGCGCGTCCCATTTGTACCGTTGTTCATTGTCACCCATACATTTTTTTTTCGTTTTCCGTCATCCCCCCCACCCCCGATCAGCGTGGTTTGCGATCGCGGTGGCGTGTGCTCGGCGATGGCCGCGGTGTCCTTTCCCGTCGTTCCCGAGAGGTTTGCGCACTCGAGACGTATGTGGCGTCGCCCTCGTTCCCCGGATGTAAGTTCTTCTGGACCGCGGGTCGCGAACATAAGGTCCGGCCGGTCGTCGAACGACGATCGGTGGCTCTACGTTAGGTTGCACGATATCACTCGGTGGCTCTACTTTACCGATAACTCGGTGTCGGAGGTGCCTGAGAGTACCTTGCTTAGTCTACGGCTCTACGCTATACAATTCACTTAATATAATTGTCTTTTTTTATCTCAAGGTCTGATATCGACAAACAACAGTTGTAGTAATACATTCCTGACATCTCTCACTATTCAGTATATAAAATACCTACTCCACATTGGAATTGCGTAGAACACCAGTTGTATTGTTTAATCATATTTAACAAAGCAAAAAATAGAACGCAATCCAATGCATTATGTGACACTACCTATTGCTACAATACCATTGTTTGTCTTAAATAGTAACCAATTAATAAAATGTTTATGTTCTTCGTTCTCTTGAGCTTAATCCTAATCATTTCTATTAGATTTTATCTTGAGGATTAATAAAAAAAACCTATTTGTGTAATATCTTACAGGTCTGATTGCTCTTAGTTATATTCTAGTAAATTACTTTTACTGGTCACCGGGTTTCTCACAAAGCTATTACTTGGTATTAAACATATTTTCATACTTTCATTCACACTAAAACTAAATGAAACCTTACTACCTTTGCTTTAATTATATATATTTCAATAACCTCTAAACTATTAAATTTAAGAATTAAAAATGCCTAATAAGGTTATAGGGCCGATTAGCTTATGACTTTAATCTCTTCCATTGGTATATACTTTTTTGATTCCAAAAATCATATAAGCTTATAAGATTAAGTACATTATTATGTTCTATATTGATTCGTTGAATAAAATGTTTGTCTCTGAATTGATAAGGTACCTAATTTTAGGGAACATAAGTATACTATAAACTATCCATACCATTTTAATTTATACATGATATGCACTTTTACAATTTAATTAGACACATAAACTTATGTATTATTATTTCATTATTTATTTTACAATTAAGTACTATTTATTAACAATATCTTAATGACATAAAAATAAGTAATTGCCACTAACCGTTATTGTTAATTATATCAAAACAGATTTTACATATCATTCAATTTTAAATGCTAAATAAAATTACTTTTATTATTAGGTACTATTATTTCTTTGTCATGAGTAAGAATTTCCTATTTGTAATGTTTATTAACTGAAGTGAGTATTGCCTAAATATTTTCCAATTTCTAAAGTGCTCTATAATTTTTCATACCTATTTGTAAAAAAATATTTTTATTGTCTTAGTTTATAACAATACTTATATTCTTTTAACATTTAATTTTCGTGTCATCAATATTATATTATTATATTTCATATTATAAGTACCTATAACAGTTATATTAATTATAAAAATTGTTTTCAGGAACTTCAAGACTTAGGCAGAGACCCACCAGCACAATGCTCCGCTGGACCCGTTGGAGATGATTGTAAGTAAACTTTTTAATTTAAACATTGTGGTAATTTTATTGAATTTAATAATATATGTCCCTCGTCCTCAACCAAACTGCGTACAATATTTTATTGTTTATGTATTGTATGAAAAATTAAAAAATATCCCTTGGCATGTGTAATTCATCAAAAGTATAAAGTTATCTATACACTTATTGATTTTAAAATGTGTTTTATATGATATTAATTAACATTTTAACTCTTACTTGAAAATTATTTTATATTAAGCGGGTAGTTTTATTTTTGTACAATTTAAAGAACAATATTATCATCATCATCATATACACCTTCAAGGTCCAACGCTGCCATCACAAAATTCTTTCATTCTTCTCTATCTTGCCAAAACCTCATGAGCTCCGTTCTGCAGCTTTGCCAGATCTTTTATGATTGATCCTTCCCTCATACTGTATGTACCTGCTGGTGTTTTTTCTCTCATCTTTTCCATTAGTACCAGTTTTATGATATGTCCATCTACTCTCCATAAATGGCCCCTAACCATTCGTCTTCTACTTAAAGTATTTGAGAAAATTTTTGGAATTCAGTATTATGACTTCTTTATTATCACTATTTCTAAGTTATTTAAAGAACCCTACATTTTTCTCTTGAAGCTAATTAGAATGATGCTTTTCCATGTATTTTGCTTGTATAATAAACAAAAATATTTTGCTGTAAAATGTTAACGAACTTACTGAAAACAGTTAAAAAGAATATCAAATAGACTACCAGACGATGGTGTGCATCAGTCGCCCATGTCACTAAATAAATTGTAGAGGCTTTTAATCAACCGAAGCCACTAGTTTATTCCATGACAAAATATTGTTGTATTTGTTTTTATTCATCTATTTATTTAGAACTTGTAAACAATTACATTATAAACTGTAACCATAATGCCTATGTATTGTGTCTATATACACAATATAGTTAGATAATATGATATTTAAATATAATTGTATTTTATATTATATCTGATATGATTACTAATGGTCAGATTTGAATAAGTGATGTAGGGAATGTGAACATATTATTTCCTGGTGTGTTAAATACAAATTAAATTAACGAAAATAATAATAATAATTACACTCAAATGTATGAACCTATACTATTTACATGTACCATCTGGTTTCAAAATGTATTGAAATAATGTCTTTTTTGATTTCAGTATTTCATTGGCAAGCAACAATTATGGGACCAGTAAGTTATTACACATTTTTTTTATGATTAAAAATAATATACTTACATTTGTAGTTTTTGGTAGAATATTAAGAAGTATTTTTTATTTTATTTTTAGTTCAATCTTACATATCAACATTTAAATAATTTTTTTTGTTTTAGCCGGATAGCCCATACCAAGGTGGCGTGTTTTTCTTAACTATCCATTTTCCTACGGATTATCCATTCAAACCTCCAAAGGTTAGTGTAGTATTTAATTCATAAATATGAACTATTATTAACTTTTTCATTCAATATTTAGGTTGCATTCACTACTAGAATTTATCATCCGAACATTAACAGTAATGGTAGCATTTGTCTTGATATTCTACGGTCTCAATGGTCACCAGCATTGACCATATCAAAAGGTAAAAACTATTATATTAATAATTATTACTACTATCGTGTTATTAACTAAAATTATTTTATTCTAGTTTTGTTGTCAATTTGCTCGTTGTTATGTGATCCAAATCCAGATGATCCGCTTGTTCCTGAGATTGCTAGGATATATAAAACAGACAGAGAAAAGTACAACGAATTAGCCAGGGAATGGACCCGCAAGTATGCAATGTGATGGTTGTTTCAAAATATGTTGCCTGTCCGCCCGTCATCAGATAAACATTCTTTTTTTTTCGCCCTGTACAACTTCAAAAAGATCAATAAATACACTTTCAATCTCCAACTCATCTGGTAAAATAAAAATTATGGCCACCTTATGGAAAAATACTTTTTAGTATGATTTGGAAAACATTTTATTTATAATGCCTAAACATATACTTTTTTTTTTTACTTATCACTTTGTCAAAAAGTTAAATATTGAATGTGTAAGTGTCTCATAATATAGAGAACAAATTTAAAATAACATGGTGTTTATTTAGTAGTTAACTTTAATAATAATGCATATTATTTTTTTTTGGGATAAAAGTGTAATATATTCATGTGCTGGTGGCGATTGATAACTGCCTTTTTACCTACCCTTAAATAATTATAATATATATAGTTTTTCATTATTATTTATTTTATTATATTTTTAACTCATTTTTTAATAGTTAATAATCTACTTATTTCAAATTTAATATTTTTTGTTTGTATGCAAATTAAAATACCTTGGTTAATTGACCAATATTATATTAATCACCATCATAAAATTGCATACTAAACTCTGAGATAAAATGATAATTTCTTTTTTTTATTTAGTAAGAACGGTTTCATTTCACTTGCAACATTCAGTTATTAGTGCTCATAGATTATAATTTGTATAATGTTATTTTAATAGCCTAAAATGTTAAACATTCTTAATTTACCACAGATATTCTAAACTGTTACCATTGCTGTGATAATTATAGATGGTACATCTAGTTGCAAACAATGGGTCTGTTATTCAAATTTCAAACTTAAATCAGTTTAATATAAAACTGATTTGCAACAATTTTTCGACAATACATTTAGCCAAAACAATATTGAATATTTTAATACTTTTAACATGCTAAACAACAAATAAAATTATGTTTTATTAAATAAACAATAAGTCTTAAATGGTTTAAAAATTGATTTAATTCAACTGAATTATTATTAATTATTTCAATTAACTATTATTATTATAATTTTTTTTTTTTTTGTACTGAATGAAACATCCTATTTTGTTAAGTTGTTTGTTATGAATTTTGAAAACTCAGTATTCAATTTGCAGTGATGTAATGCACAATGCAGAATATGTTACAAGAAATTATTTAGGTGGTATTCCTTATTGTACTATGTTTACTCAGTCAATAAATTGAAAAGAAGTTTTCCCATACCTTTTCAAGTATTGTGTCATTTGTATGTGATAAAAAGTAGGTAATGTACCAACTTATATTTTAATAAATTTTGTATGTTCAAATTTACCATTTCTATACTCTTATAAATAGCATAAATAACATTTAATTTTAGTGTTACTGAGATTTTATAAATGATTGAATTGGGTATTTTATTAACAATTATACTTATATTTTGTGTGTATACATATAAAAATAGATATATATTTATATTAATTAATTTAGATAAATGTATATACTTTTATACATTTTTTTAAATTGTCTATTAGAAGTAAATTTTAAGGGTCAATACTTATTTCTGACCAAAAGTGAGTCAGTTAGTTTTTACATGACAAATATCACAAAGTATAAGCGATTAAACATTTTATACAGCTTAATTATTTTGATACTACAATTCTGAAATGTTGTTTGGTCACTAGTCAATACTCAATCATATTTACAAATTAAGTGATTTTTATAATTTGAAATAACTTAATGTTCTAATTGTGTCTTGTAATGATTGTTTTGAGTTTTGACATATTTGTAACGCTTATCATATTCATCGGGGGTACATTCATTGGTATTCAACTACCTTTTAGCTTCACCTTTTCTTGACTAATACTGTTTTTATTTTAACATGAAATATACAATCATTACCTTAGAGGCAGAATAAGTAGGTGATAATACCAACACCATACAAGTAAGATACATTAATTTAGTAGAACAAAATAATAATACAATCATTAACATTATAGCTTTTTTTACTGATGTATAGACAATGAGACCAGTTTAGTTAAGTATCAAAAAAGTACCTTAAAATATTTCAGATGATGTTCAATCCATACTAATTTTGGAGTAGGTACAGTGATTCTAAATTTTGTTCATACAAGAAATTGGCTTTTAACGGTGGACTAAATATGAGTATAAGAGATAAAAATATCAAGAGTATTTAAAAATTAACACATAATACTCGTTAAAGTATATTCGCGTTTTGTTATTTAAATTATTTTTACAATCTCTACCTTGTACTACATAATCAATCAGGAGATAAATGTTCCGAGAGGGGGTAGTTGAGTAGGGCATGCGAACCCAAAAGCAGACTCTTTCAAGAGAGAGGGTTTTTAGCATCCAGGTTCCAGGTACCCATTTAAAAGCTAAGAAATGAATCTTTGGTCAGCTTCAAGGTGACGTGGAGACGACATGGATTTTGGAGTAGTCGTTTTGTGCAATCCGAAAGTTGAGTATATTATGAAAGCAGCATAATATGCTAACAATTATTTATGTTATTTAAAATAACGAATGCGCTCTAGACGAAATTAGAAAGGGCGCCAAACAACCACACCGGATTCGAGAAGGAGCCTCACCAGTGAAAAATATAATGAACTTGCAGGTTTGAAACTTTTGGTGTACATTTAATGAAACTAAGTATTAATATCGGTGAAATCCAGTGTTCAAAAGAAAGAATTGAAGAATAGAATATCCAAAGGTCTTTACAATGAAAGCACGTAATTTAAACAAAAAAAAACTACTTATTATATAAGCAGGACAAATGTACTAAATAATACTAATCAACAAAATTTATATCTTGATGTGGGGTAGTCACAAAAGCCAAATTTTGATGGAAACGATTTATTTTTAAAGTCGCTACTGGACAGTAAGATAAGTATCCTCAATTTTTAGTACCTTGATATTTATCCGTAATAACACATTTCTACTATTTAGTTTGGTGAAACAATGTAATAGGTCTATGCCAAGGCCCGAGATCATTGATCTTTGAATAAAAATAAAAACTAATGTTCTGCGACTTGCGAGTCATGACCTCATCAGATGTTCGTTACCAGGCTGGAAGTTGGCAATGCTTTTATCACCAATAGCACCAACTTCTTCAACAGGTTCCTTAAAATCGCGCCCCGTTTTTATAGAAAAAGGACCTAACTCGTCAGTTGTTATTACTAGAATTGAAAGAAAAAAACAGTTGCCGTTATTCCTCAATAATTTTTAAATGATTGGAGTTGGTATTTTTACGGGTTTCTCAAGAACATAAACAAATTATTCTTATAGTTATGAATTCATAAAGTTTTTAATATTCATAGCGAAGGTTTGATAATCCAAAGAAAAGTTCATTTATTATTATATAAGTTTTTCTAACCTACCTGATTAACAAAAATAATCAAATAAAAAGTTTACATTTTTACGAATTTGATGTTTCCACGTAAAACAACACAACATTTCTCATCAAACTTAGTTTTTTCGTAGTAATTCAAAAAGTGTATATTGAAGAAGCTTGATACATTCCACAGTTACCTAATTTTCTATACTCTACAAAAATTCAAAATATTTATATAAATTTAAATTTGAGTTATCAAACATTTTCAATTTTTTTTTTGAGCTGTAAAATTATTAACACGTATTAAAAAAATCTGAAGCTTTAATACAAAATGTCTTATAAGTTTTATATAGCTGTTTGAAAATGTAATGATAGTGTAAAATAGTTTCTTTTTATTATCATTTGAACAAAATTAGATGTTTAAATGAAGAATAACATTTCGTGTTAAGTGTTTTTAATTCAAAAATATTATTATCAAGGATTTAAAACATTTCCGTGTATGTATATACATTTAAATACGTAATGGTTTTTTTTATAACATTTAGATTCATGTATTTAGAATAATTCTAAGCTATTACCTATTTATTGTTTATAGGCAGGTACCACAAACGACAAACCTATTCATACCGTTAACTAAAAAGTTATACTAGAATAAAAATACCCGGATTTTTACTGTCAAATTATGTAATAAAGACTAAAATATTATTATTTACAGTTTCGGTGTTTTATTATGAACATTTAAATTTCAAATTTTGATAATTTCGTTTTGAAGTCTATCGTATTAATATTTTTAGTATGCATAATTTATGTATAGAAGAAAATGTGATTTACTATTTTTTAAATATTGTTGTCGAAATATGACACATTCTTTGAAATGCCTTATTCATGTCTTATAATGGTGATGATTTTAGATCAATATTGTCCCACTCGGCTTTTCCAGTAACAAAGATTTGTTTATTTTATAAATAAATTTGTAACCAATGAGTGGCAATCCTAAAAATTAACAAAATAATATATTCTTTTTCGTACGCCTCGCGCCTCAACTAAATAATTCATAAGTGAACCTATAGGTTATAGGTGTATAAAATTAGCCAAAAAACTTCTACAAGTCTTTATGAATCTATTGATACAACTTTTATTGACAACAGTCCAATAGTTTTGAGTCTCCTGCAGTTAATAAACAGACATCCATTTTTATATTATATATTTATATAGATAGGTACCTAGTAATTTATTAAAATAAAAATATACTTATTTGATAGCTTAATATTTTATTTTATAGTACCTACCTATTTAAATAATTGCCCGTATAATTGTACACGGAACATTTTTTTTGCGTTATAATTTCCTAGATCCTAGTAAAAAATGTAGAGACATAAAAATTAACAAATGATTGGTATTGATAATATGTAGTGTCGGCGATATGAACGTAGGGCAATCATGGATAAATATCTCATAAGGATTTTACAACATGAACATTTTTTTTTAATAGATCTACATTTATAATATATTTTTTAGGTGTAATTGTTTACAAGTATTATTTTGAGTTGCCATAGTAGTTTAACAACATTTCTAATTATTATATTTCGATTAATTTGTAATTCGGTATTCAGTTAACAGTTTTAACTACTTAATCTTACCAAACAATTATTTTAACATGAGTTCTTTTCAAGATATTTTAACAGCTCAACCACATCATGTGTCCGGATACACTGGATTTGTTCCGGGCTACATAACGTGCTTTGGTCAAAGTTATGGAAGGACCACTCATGGGTTATTTTTTGACAGGACAGTGAAACGGTCAAATGTACCGGTACTAAATGACCTGTCAAAATTTTATGACGAACAATTCATCACGCCTGAAGAAAGGGACTTAATTAACGAGAGATGCAAAAAAACTCAAAATTGCAAATATACTACAGATATATTACCAGGCTATGGCGGATATGTACCCCAGTATCACTTCTTGTGTGGAAAAAAGTATAAATAAATATTTTAAAATAAGATAAACTATTGTTTCCCAATATTAACAATAATCTATTCATTAAAAAGTGTCCACCTAATAATTGTTTTAATAAAAAGTATGTAGGGGCGCCTATACTTAAAACTTAATATTATGTCTATTGTTCAACTAGATATAGCATTGACACAACTAAAGGACTGAATAATTTTGTGAAAATACAAGAATTAAGTTCTAGGGAATTGGATAATAAAATTGTGCCGGATGTACTCCACAGTGAGAATAAATATACACATCCATTCAATAAGGTATAGTAACAACTGTTATAAGATGTTAAAACATATTATACTCTGTTGAAGTTATGAAACCTAGTCAGCATCCGACTTGTGGGCAACATCATAACAATACTAGACAGTTCTGTAGGCTTAGGGGGGAGGCTTAGACACGGCGAGGATAACAAACGGGAATTGCTTGTCAGCTGCCCGACGAAAACTGGTCGCCGCTGACTACATTTCTCGACGACTCTACAAACGTATCATTTTTAAGGAGTTGTGTTTAGGCAATTTTTTCGTTCCTTGCGATCTCTGCTTGGGTCTTTTTGTGTGTACCTACAATTTTTAAATTTATTAAAAACTGCTAAAAATATTGAATATAATATGCTACGACCGATGCAAAGTAAACTTCTTTATCAAATCGAAAATATATATATATTTTAAATCGAATCACTAGAAGTACCACAATTGTGATTCACTAAAGTCCTTTTGGTGAAAAATTAATTGAGTTTACAGGGGCCCAAATTGAGTATAGAAGTATTGTAATTATTTTAAAGGTACCTACATATTTTATTAATTTTATAATATTGGCAATTAGTTTTAAAAAGACAGTTTCAAAATTGTTATTGATACTATTTTCACTTAACTCTTATAACCAAAATACAGTCGAGCGTCGATTATCCGCACTAATTGTGACCAGAGGGGGTGCTAATAATCGATTTTTTTTGGTTCAAAGGAAACAACTAAATTTTAGATTACAATGTACAAATATATTATCTACATTGGAGTGAGCCGTAGTAGATAATAAAATCTCGCATTTCATAATAAATACATAGACTTATAGAAATAGACGGAACATTAGGTATGATAACGCGTGCAACTGTCCTCGTGATCGGGCAGGTATATGACAAGCTATGTATTGCCAATCCTCGGAGCAGAGGACATTCTTTCACTCTTATGATAAAACTAATGCTATCTCGCTTAATCCGTTTGGCACGACCACGCCTCCCAGTCCTCGGGCCTAATGTTCCGTCTATTTATTTAAGTCTATGAATAAATATAACATGATAATATTGTATATAACAATAACATAACATTATACTTTATAGTATACGATAAAAGGAACATAACGAATGATAAAACTAAATTAAATTAAACTAAAAATAAATTTGTACACAACAATTTTTTAGTGTAGATAATCGACTGTAACTTGTTTTGAAGTTATTATTGTAGGTATTGGAGTATATAACTATAATTTATTATTTATCTAAATTTAATATAAATAACCTAAACATTGAAGGTAATATTTATAATTCTTTCTGAATTATATTTACATATTATAAAGTTTAAATCCAAGTCTGTAGTTATTTTTTAGTTAATCAAAACAAAAACTTAAATATCATTGATTTTTTTACAAAAAAAAACAAAAATTTTAGTCTATTCTAATTTCTAACCTCATTAAAAAAAAAATATATCTGTTTAAATTTGATACAATGCATTAAACAGAACAATTTAATTAAAAATAAATTACCTATGTGCCAACATTTTAATAATAACATAAAAAGAGGAGAACATTGTATTACTCTTATACATAATAAAATCCTTGGGCTTATTGTAAATAAATTATTAACACCTATTTTAAACAAAAACAAATGTTCTTTAAATCGTACTATTTTTCTGCTATATTGTTTTTTTTTTTTAAATCTAAAGATTATGTTCAAATTACGAATAAATACGTTTTTATAACTTAGTTCATTACTTTCATACTTTTTATTTTGTATAAACACAATGCATTTATGGGTTATTCCTTAATAGATTCAATTTAGAATAAAAGAAAAATGAAAATTTTTTTAGGACTTTGAAGCTGAAGAATTATTCAAAGAACAATACACAAAAACCGTGCCGATTCCACCTACCGATACGATTTATTTTTTGGAGAACGGAAATCCACACAAAAAATTTATGGCTGGTTATGCAGGACATGTACCAAATTTAATGTTTGAGTTTGGTCAGCCATATACACCTTCCACAGAAAATGCACTAAACGTATTTACAGATGAGTATAAAAAACATAAATTATTTATGCATTGAAGGACACTTATCATTTTTATAAATTCCCATAACGCTATATCAGAGGGCGCTTTTTCATTAACTTAAAATATTTAGAAAAATGTTTTTCCACATAAGAATATATATTTATTATTGAGGTAAATATCCGGAATAACCTGGTGTATTATATCAGTGGTATACTTGCAATTCAAATTTTTTTCACATATCCTATTAATGGAGTCCTCTTCTTTAAGAGTTATAATCGTATAGTCGTAAAAGCTTGTAAGGTCACTTAATATCGCTACATTGGATTGTTTATGTGCTTTGTCAAGAAATAATTCCGTCAGTTGATTTTTCATAAAAATAGAATAATCAAAAAAGAAACTGATATGAAATAAATCAGTTCGCCATGACTTTGGAGGAAATATCAGACTGAACAGTAAGACACAAAAATGGGTATGACACTTAAAATATTAATTTTTAACTTTTTTTTTATTCTAAATTAGATAATTAATAGTTTTTTAAAGTTCATAATACGAATTTGAAGGTGACATAAATAAATACAATCTTATATTTTTTAATACTACCTTCTATAACAATATTCCCAACATATTTAAGTCAACAAAATATTATTTTATGTAAAAAATAAATAGTAAAGTAAAATGTTAAACGTACAAAACATTGTTTATAAAATAATAAAAATAAAATAAAAATCGTCAAATATAATTTATACATAATACATTATTTATTATAAATGTGAAAGAACGTCCGATTTTCTATATTTTCTAAAAGCCCATGGTACATTTTTATTGAATTTTTTGAAAGATTCTCAACCTTATAAAATGGCTTTTAAAAAATTCTTAATTAAAATTTGGCCATTGATGTGTAAACGGTACGTTATCTAACAATTTTTTTATTTTTCATTCTACATTATCTTTAATAGCAAGTGTAAGGTTGTCTGTAAAAATATTATCCAATTCATTTACATAATTGAGTAACGTGTCTGGTGGTACCTACATTTATTGATTTAATTGTGCATAGTCCGTTTTTAGTTAAATTTAATTTGATAAGCCTTAAGAGGACGTAGTAACCTCCTCATGTGTCGTCTCCGTCTAACACAGGTGCAATATAGCAAATTATCGTTCACCAGATTTAATAGTACCTATGCCGTTAGTTTTGATGTTAGAGTGAATTGATCTATTATACAATTTTAAGGCAAGATTTTTATCTAAAGCCCATCACGTAGGCTTTTATTAATATTATTATTTTTAAGTAAAATGTGACCTTTTTGAAACTGTACATTTTAAAATGATCATAACTAACTTAAACATATTAATAACCATGAAATACTACTTGGGGGCCCTAGATAATAATCTTGCTTTTATATTTTATCATGAGTCAATTCACTCTTATATCAAAACTAACGGCATACTATTGCATCTGGTGAACGAAAATTTGCTATATTGTACCTGTGTAGACGACACATGCGGGTACGACGTCCTCTTAAAATGTGTTAAGGGGGCTCCAGTAGATGCAAAAAAAGTGACTTTTAGACCAACAAGCTAGACAAAACTGGAGGAAGTTGGTTGGACGGATTTTAATTTTTAAAACGGATTATGATTGATTAACAAGTTTACTAGGTTTTGCCAGAGGCGATTTTGAATATTATTTTTTTTAGCTGTGATGTCTAAGAATAAAAATATGATATATTTGTATTTATATTATTCATTATGACACTAACAATAATAAGAAAATATCAAAAATCGCCTCTGGCAAAACCTAGTAAACTTGTTGATCAATCATAATCCGCTTTCAAAATTAAAATCCATCAAACCTAATTCCTCCAGTTTTGTCTAGCTTATTGGTCAAAAAACTGCTTATTTTAAATTGAAAAAAGTTGATCATAATTTAAAATATACGTCATAATATGCGCGTACGTAAGTTAATTGCCGACGAATATAAAATATAATGGTCGACCGACCGACCGGCGATATTATGCAGGCCTACTGTTACAATTCCACGAAATACATGGGTAACATTTTTCGAACGAATTATGTACTTTAAAATATTATTATCTAGATTCATATAAATATTATTATACACCGACTTGCTCCCGCCGAAATTGTTCAGTTGTTTTCATTATTTGTAAATTCATAAAATTCATTATTCATTCATTGCATGATGGCACTGATCAGTGACTAGTGCTCCGGTAATTATTGATCAGTAAGCAGTGACGTTAATAAGGGTTAATATACGTTTAGAAATACAACTGATCTAAGGAATACTCAATACTGTTATTTGGTATTGCTTTATTTCATTTTTATATCGTAAGTCAAGTGTGTGTCGATATGTTTCAAAAGAACTGGAGGTACGGCAAAAAAAACAGAACCTTGTTAAGCAAACATAAAAAAAGAAAACATTAAATAACCTCAACCATCAAATCGTGGTAAGTATATTATATTTATACAATTATAGTAAGTGTAGTATATTATTGTATTTTAAATTCTGAGTGGAGCGAAACAATTGTACAATGATGTGTTTTTTTCTCTGTCTGTCAGCAACATTTTGGATAGTAAAAAATAAAAATGCTCTAATATTCGAGACCAACACTTTTTCCGATAGAAAAGTTAATCTAGTTGGTACTTTTGGGAGGTCAAAATTGAAAATCCCAAGTAGTTCTAGAAAGCGCAAAGAAAAACAAACCATAAATTAATGGAAAACTGAGATTATTGCAAAACTAGTTTTTGAAAAAATTGATTTTGTTTTTTAGTGTAACTCTTAAAAAATTAACCGAATATAGCTGCGATTTTCACCGATTGTTTATATTATCAATTTCTATGCACCAATAACATTTTAGAAATATTGCGACTCTTTTTGAGATATTTATAGGCATAAGAAAATATCGGGTTTTATTAGGTTTTTTTTAACTATTGTGGATACAACATTTTTCGGTCAG